AAAATAGTATGTTTTGGGGGAATATTATCAGGGGTTATGCTTTTTGTTATAAGAAATGTGGGGAAATGGTCTGTCAAGTCAGTCTTTATTATACCTGTACTGAGGCAGCTATTAAAAAAATTATTAGTAATTATGTTATCCAGTAGGGTAGAGGAACTTGTTGTGATTCTTGTTGGCTTTGTTATTCTTGGAATCAAATTATTTAAAAAAAAAGTATTTACAAAACATTTAACACTGATATTTAACGCATGATTCAAAAGATTAATATTCAGGTCACCGACCAAGTGTAAACATGCTTTTGCTTTTTATTAACTTTTGTTTAAAAATAACGGAAGCAAGCTTTAAAATTTTTAAATTACCCGCTGGTTCATTTATTGAAACAGGTATGGTTTTTTATGTTTGATATTTTTGGTTATTATGGCAATGGTATAAATTAAAGAGAACTTAACTCATTCATAGTTAGGGCATGACGTCCTGAGCAATGAGCTGGGCAGTTATTTCAATCCTGCTAATTAATCAAAAGTCGTAACTAGAGCTTCAAATGTGGCCTTAACATTGCACATAAAATGCACTAACAAGGACACCATTCATGGGTGACGCGGCACTGCTAATACTGTGATACTTAAGGTGGTAGTACACCAATAAAAGTAAAAAAAAAAATTTTTTTTTACTTTCATTATTTAACCAATATAATCATCGCAGATTTCGAATTTTTAGTTGATGAAACTAAATAAAAAAAGCTTCACATGTTAAAACCTGTTTATAATGTATCGGTTTAAAATAATTTTTATTTTCCCCCTAGCAACGCTTTGTTTATTCCGTTGTTATGCGCTTCAGAAACAAGTTAAAACCATAAAAAAGCCATAAAATACTTACTTAGCTAACAATTTTAAGTGTAAAGTTGTAGACTGCAACGACTTCTTGTTAATTAGTTCAGTATGATGGCTTTATTGACGTAATTCGCTTCTTGTTTCAAGCTCCATTCAAACTTTATTATTTATGCTGTAGTATATCTTTTATCTTTTTACAATAAAAGTACTATAAAAATAATATGGGTGGATCAAAGAGAAAACAATTATCAAGCAGAATATACAATAATAAAAAAGCAAAATTTCGTGGAAACTGATATACAAAGATCCCTTCTTCAGAAACGAAAACTTTATCTTTTGTTGAATCTGCTACACATTCTGCTTCTTCAAAAAAATTAAATATTGCTGATAGAGATTTTCAAGATTTATAAAGTACAGATTTTAACTTTGTTATGAACTTTAGTCTGTTGGAAAACGTTATATCGTTACTTAAATGCCCAAATTTGTGTGAAGATAATGTTTTTTTAATGTTTGATTTGTCAAAAAAGTATGGTTTGAGTATTGGATTAAAAATATGTTTTAACAGTTGCAATTGGAAAACTAAGTTTTTTTCATCTGCTACATTTTGTAAAAAAAAATTTCTTGAACAACAAGAGCCTAGTAAAAGCAAATGTAGTGGGCAAAAACCATTTGATATTAACACACGTGTCATTGTGGCTTTTCGTGAAATGGGTAAAGGGTTATCGTCATTAGAAAAATTTTGTGGAATAATGAATATGAAGCCACCTATGAACAAAAAAAGCTACAATAAAACTTTACATAACCTGTTAGATGTTTATCAAAATTTAGTTGACCAGAACATGAAAAATGCTGCTGATGAAATTATCCCTGCAGGTGAAACATCAAGAGACATTATGTGTAGCTTTGATGGTTCATGGCAAAAGCGTGTTTTTACTTCAAATAACGGAGTTGTTTCTGCAATTTCAGTTGAAAGTGGTAAATGTATTGACTTTCAAATAGAAACAAAAACATGTAAATTATGTTCAATATGGAAGTTAAAAAAATACACACATCCAGTTGAATATGAAAAGTTTTAGTCATCTCATTTTCAAAAGTGTAAAATTAGTCATATTGGATCATCATCGGCTATGGAATCAAGTGGTGTTTTAAAACTTTTTCATCGTTCTGAAATAAAAAACAATTTAAGGTATACCACATATCTTGGTGATGGAGATAGTAGTTCTTATACCAGTGTTGTTGCTGCTAAACCTTATGGACAGAATGTAGAAATTAAAAAAGCAGAGTGCATTGGTCATATTCAAAAACGAGTTGGCACGCGTTTAAGAAACTTAAAAAAGAGCAGCAAAGAAATTTTAAGTGATGGTAAAAAACTAGGAGGAGCAGGTCGTTTGACAGAAAATGTTATTAACACATTGCAAAATTACTATGGCAAAGCAATCAGACAAAATACTGGTAGTTTATATGCAATGAAAAAAAGTGTAGCAGCTGTTCTTTTTCACTGTTCTGAAAGTTATGACAATGAAACACGCAATCAATTTTGTTTGCGCACCAAGGATTCTTGGTGCAAATTCCAGTCTGATAAAATAACTGGAAAAAAAACATACAAAGAAAATATTTGTATTCCTGCTGCTGTAAGGGATTTTATAAAACCAATATTTATAGATCTTGGTAGTGATGTTCTTTTAGAAAAGTGTTTGCATGGCAAAACACAGAATCCTAATGAGGCGCTGAATCAATTGATTTGGAAGCGGTGTCCCAAAGATATATTTGTAGAAAGAACTGCTTTATGTGTTGGAGTAGCATCAGCTGTCCTATACTTTAATAATGGACTACAATTTTTAGAGACGTTATTTGATAAGCTTGAAATAACAGTAGGTTGCAATCTACATAACTTTTGTCTTACAAATGACTCTAAGCGCATTTCTAAAGCAGAAAAACAATGCACAAGTATAGTGAAATTGAGGCGCAAGAAACTAAGAGCTATACATAAAGGTTTTTGTGATCAAAACGAAACATTAGAAGGTGCAGTTTATGGAAGTGGGGAGTTTTGAACAATTTTTTTTTGTTTTTATTTTTAAATTGAGTTTTTCTCAAAATCATGTTTTATATTCTGGCGACGGAGATATTTTTCAAACCGATAACCGATTTGATCTGAAATTTGGCACACTTGTTTATAACACATGTATTTGCAACCTCTACTAGAATTATGTTTACAGCTAATTGTGTTCTACTTTTGTGAGTGATTTTGTGTTCTCAAATAACACCAAAACTTCCAAATATGACTAAAATGCATATATTTTGACTTTTTTTGGTCAAAATCCAAAACTTTTAGTGTATGTTGTTATTGCATAAGTAAAGGATCACAAGCCAAAATTTCAGTTCAAATTTATTTACGGTTGCTGAAAAAACCCTGTCGCCAGTTATTCATTTTTAGGCTTTTGTCTGTCAATAATTATGCGCATAATTAATTTTTTAAAATTTTTACTTATATTTTAATCATATAATATATGTTATGCACTATTAATAATTGAAAAAAAAGTTAAATTGCAAGATTTTTTTTTAATGGTATACTACCACCTTAACATCTGTTGATAGAATCAGCTTCTCTGAGTGCTACCACACAGATTAGGAAACCTTACTATCAGAACCATTAAACTGAGAACCATTAACCTCAATTCAGAACCATTAAACTGAGCTTTAGAGCCTCATTAGAAGATAACTGGATGAGTTGCATAGCCAGGCAAGCAAAATTCTAACGTCAAGAAGTTCCAACAATTATTCTAGGTAGGAAAAATGTAACACAGGTTTACGTCTACGGCAGCCTAATAGGTGAAGAACAAGACAATAGCTGGATGCAGTTAACATTTGCCTTAGAAGATTATTTTTACCGAGACAACATCTCTAGCCTTTACTCAACTTAAGCCTTTACTGTTTTTTGCTGCAACATTCTCACAATCGCAATGATTCTTACCTTTCGATGGCTCGTTGTAATCTGTTCTCAATAATTAAAGAAACTTATCTATGCAGACTCTATGAAGTGCCTTAAATGTATATCATATCTATGATACAAGCCAGCATTATCAGACTATAAAAATTTTTTGTTTTTTAAAAATATCTTCAGAACGTGTTCAAAATACTGTTTGTATTTGCGTTGCTTTCCTTTTTACTCTTTGCATATTTTTTTTTTTTAAATAGTTGGTTAACATTTTTTACTTAATGCATTTAAATTTTGTACTTTGTATATTACCTTTCTTTTTGTATGTTCTGTATATAAACGTGCCTTTAGGCAAAAAAACAATACAATAACATATAATATTATGACTTTAAACTGCTTTTTATTGTAAATCTAATTGATATAAGCCAATAAAAAATTTCATTCAACTTTTGGATTTTTTATATTTTTTTCATGCTTTGTACGAATTAAAAGAATCATATCGAGCAGATTACACACCGGTTATATGACGTAATTGACTATGTACTAAACTGTTGCTACATTTTGGCATTACATAAAACAAAACATCAACTTATTATCAAATATATATAATATATACATATATAATTATGCATAAAAAATACAGCAGCTAAAGTCAACGCATAAGTCATTACTGAACGCTTCTTTTCTATCTAGTTAAATCAATCATAGAAATTTATTGAAAATTAGCGAAGAAAAAGCATATACATGTTACAAAAAAATATGTAAAGTTTCAGCTATACAAATATTATGGAGCAAAAGTGACATTTGTTCAAATCATTTTCGTATAAAACAAAATTCTGTTAGAAATCTAAAAAACGCTAATAAATTATTATTAATTCAACCCGTATATATATAGCGTTGTTATGAAACGCCGTAAAAGTTAAAAAAAACAAAAAAACTACTAAACAACCCCCCTCCCATTACGTTTGAAAAATATTAAGTTTATATATATATATATATATATATATATATATATATATATATATATATTACGTTTGAAAAATATTAAGTTTATATATATATATATATATATATATATATATATATATATATATATATATATATATATATATATATATATATATATATATATATGTATGTATGTATATGTATAGGATTTTAAAGGTATAATTTCTCAAACGATTACTTTAGTTCATCCAAAAAAAAAAAAAAAATTAAAAAAAAAAATTAACAGGAAAGCAACACCTTTCATCAGGTCTGAAGCCTTTTTAACTAAAATATTGTAAGCTTTATAGTTTATTTCAATTAAAACATATAATTAATCGAGGTAAGCAATCGATGAAAGATAATAAGCACTATAAGTTATGGTCTTATTGAATGGCATACACGCTAACGACTCGACTACCGAACAGACAAACAAGGAATTTATTTTAAATTCAAGTTTTCTGCACATCTACGCAAACCAACAAAAGATCATTCAATTTATTCCAATTCATTCGGGTAAACTGTAAATATATTATTAATAAAAATAAAAAATAAACAAAAAAATAACATTTAAACAATACAATTCAGCCTAACAATATAAGTTTCATGAGACAACTACAGGGTAGCCAGCCACTTCGTATAATAAAATTCCCCGACTTATATTTTAAAGTGTGAATTTTGTCCATTTTAAAATTTTTACAACTCTAGCTTGTAAATGCTTTTCTAGTTTAATAGCCAAGAAATTATAATGAAAAAAGTACTTTAAAAGATGGAACAAATCAATAACTTATTTTTTAACTTTTCATTTAAAGTATTTAATAATATTTATATTATGTAGTTACCTCACAACATTACCAAATCAATACGAAAAAAGTACAAAATGTTTGTCAGTCTTTTACCGAGGAATTATTTCATGTGAAATAATTGAAATTTTGTTATTTATGTTATTTGTTATTTATTATGTTATTATATTATTTAATTATTATGTTATTTGTTACTCATTAATTATGTGAAATAATTGAAATTTTGTCTCCAGTGCAACAAAGAAACAGATTGCATTTGATGCATTTGACTCTGCTGCGACCATTGCATCTTCAAACTTGCAGCGTTGACCCAGTTCCTTGATGCAGACAGGGAAATGATCGAACAGATCATAGCGGATCTCCACAGCTGGTCTTTCTGCCGGTCTTGCTCGCTTTGGAGGAGGTGTAACTACAGAAGATGTTGATGTTGACGAATCACCTGAATCTGTGATAGGTGCTGTTGTAGTAATTCTTGGCCTTCCAACTGGTCGGCAAGCAATTGGTGTTGTCAAGTGGGCTTTCACTAGTGTGGCAGCAATCTCATTTCTGAAATTGAGAAGATCCAAAGTTTGTCTTTTAGGAGTACCATTTTGTATTTTGATGTCTTGATACTCAAGCCATGAGTTGACAAGGGCAAAGTCCACGAAATGAAAAATCATGCGTACAGGCCACTTCTTAGTTTTTGCCTTTATCCTGTACAAAGCAATCAGGAAGCCACTCCCTACCATGTTTTCATTGTAGACTTTCACACAATTGGGTCTGTTCACTTGAATATATTCCTTTTTGCTTTCACTCCACCTTCTTACTGTGCCCATTTCTTCGATCCCAATAAAGCTGGAGGTAAGAGTGACAGCTCCATTATCCATCCACCTGACCACACATGTCACCTTCTGCTGAAACTTTGCAGTTGCTTGATCCGCGTCCATTCTTCTTCATTTCTTTTTCAGATTTTAACGGACACCCCATTAATCTGTTGGATTTAACGACACCAAGGGACTGAATCCCTAACATTTTCAGCTGTCTAATAAGGATCATGCCAATCTTAGGACAACAGAAGCACCAAGTTCCATGTGTTTGTGCTCTTCTGATATACCTGTACCTGCACTCTGATATAGTTCAAAATCAACGGCCCTACCAGAGGTACCACAGACAACAAAGTTTTTTACCCCTACTGGATTCGGCTTCCCTTTGATGTACTGTTTAGCAGGTACTCTACCAGTGAAAGGGATCATTTGCTAATCCAGTTGTATTCTTCTCTTGGTAACTTAAGACAGCGAGAACGTACTGTGTTTATCAGAGGCTGAACTTTCCAGAATTTATTAGTTTTTTGTTCTGGATTAGGATCAGCATTGATATGAATGCTGTTTTGCAGCTGTAAATAGCGGTTTACAGGCATAACATCTGCCACTGAATTTACTCTAGTGGCTTTTTGCCAGTACATCCTTATTCTGAGAAAACCTAAATTTGCCATTACTATTGTGATACCAAAAAATTTCAGAATTTCAGCTGTTGAAGTATTTAGAGTTTTACCAGTTTTGCGTAGATGATAAATGTTTGTTTGTTCAGCAAATGTTTCAAATATTTCTGGGTTAAAGTAATTAAAAAAAATATGAGGATGGTGAAAATAGGCCATCTCCCAAATTCAAATTTTCCTGCCATTCTGAGCTGCTTTCAAATGCACCTCGAAGAGACCGCCACTTGATCTGTGTCTTTTTTTCTCTTTTGTTCCCACTGTTCACAGAAGTGCCTGGCTGTTTATTATCATCTAGTCTTTCAATTTCATCCTCATTTTCATCAGCCAGCATATCAGCAGCAGAAGGGTTAAAGGTCTCATCCCCAGAGTCATCAGAATCTGATAATTCAAGTTCCGAGTCATCAAGATGCTGCAACACATCTTCAACTGTAAACCGCCTCCGTGGATTATCTGAAAATATATTTAAAACATTATACTTATTTATTTATCTTTGATTACAAAATCAATTTGATAAAACTGACAAAATAAATACGGCAAGAATAAAACAGATGTTTGATTATATAAACACAAAGGGAGGGGCACTAGCTTCAGTAGGTAGGCTTAAATAAGTAAAATATCCTATTTTTAATGATTCTATTACAACCTTTTGTTATTAAATTAACAACAATACTATTTCACAAAACACATTTTATATCTGAGATTAAAAGAAATATATATACACACATGCAATTATTAACTCACGGTAATTACACAAAAAGAAATCTAATGTTGAGTTTCACTTTACTAATTTTATTATTTTCTCATCTCGTTGCTATTGGCACACAGTGTGTACAAATGTACACAGCATTATAAAAAAAATTCTACAGCAAAAAATAGTCTGTTTTTACTTTTAACTTATGTGCATGCAATCATAAACATATTATTACATCTGATACAAAATTTGACTAGAGATAATTTATAATTCTCAAATTTAAACAAAGAAAAAAACTTACCACAAAGTATTTTTTTGCCTTGCGACGCCATGTTAAAATATCTATATACAGAAATCTTTTCTAAAGAAGACAAACTACACAAAAATAGGACTGGTGTGCACAAATGTACACACCGTGTTTTAACATAGTCATAAGAATACATAGTCTGGAAACACGGACCATTTCCATTGTTTTCCGATTTTAACTTGAAAACTACACGACGACCCGGCGAACCTGCACAAGTTTATAATAATGGCAAATTTTAGCAGCGATTTTGAGACAAATAGTGATTTGGAATGTTTGTTTGATGTGTTTGAAGGAGGATTTTTGAATGATGACATTAACTTAGTAACAGATATAGATTCCATTGTTTCTGATATCGATATTTATAGAGATAATCTCAAACAACATGCTTGCACTCAATGTCCTAAACTATACAAAACAATTAGAGGTTTAAAAAGACACATTGCATCGAAGCATATTTTAGAATGTTTTGAAAAATGTTCTGTAAAAATGTCTGATACGGAGAATTCTTCTAATAAATTGTCACCGCTAAAGCTGAAAAGCATAGTTGAAGAATGTGCAAGTTTATTGGAAATGGACATGTGCCTGCCATTTGATGTTAGAAAAAAATTCTCATGCGAGCAATTTAGTTTTTCAATAGATGATGCTGAACATCTTTGGCAAAAATTAAAACCGATTATAGAAAAATTTAAAGGCAATTGTGATTTATTTTATCAAGAGTATTATGGACTGCTGAGCGAAAATCTACTAGCTTCACACTTCAGTGATATAACTTTGAGCAATACACTACTCACTGAAATGTCTGCCATTATATTAAATAATCTTTCTAATATAAACCCAAATATAATTGAATCTGTTGGTACAACTCAAGAAATAACTGATATCGAGAAAAAGAGTTTACAATATCTTATTGGATATATATTTCAGAGATTGTATACTAAATTTCAAAGTAGTAAAAATTTATGTAAGTATAGCCAACAGTGTGTTTCAATTTTACTGCGCTGCAGGGTTATGGAAGATGATACTCAGGCACTTGTAAATATTAGAGATAGAGGGGGTTTGTGGAAAGTAAACAATATAATTCAGGATCTTTTTTTAACATGCGAGATTATTTTTCGTAAAAAAACAACACAAGTTTCTTCAAAACTAGATCCTGAAGTTCTAATTGACTCCATGTCAACAAATTATATTGTTTTATCTCTTTTTAAACAAGTTTGCAATGATCCAGAATCAACCGAAGTTAGTAAGAATTTGCTAGAGCACTTAATTACATTATTTGTAAGAGTTCGTTCGTTTTCTTATGCCAAAGATGTTATTGAAAAGCATAAAATGAGAAAGAAATCTTGTAAGACTCGTTCATTGCGATGTGAAATTAAGAAAGCAAGTGAAGGAAATTGAAATTGAACATAAAAGGCTATTTTCATAGCCACATATCTTTTTAAAACATTAATGGCACATAAACTACTTAAATTCTGTTTAAAAATTTACTTAATAGTTACTTTATATAATAAGGTAATCCTTCAATGTTTGCAATGATCCAGATATGATAAACTTAGAGTTAGGGTCAATTATTTCTAACTTTTATTATACTTACATCAGTATATATATATATATATATATATATATATATATATATATATATATATATATATATATATATATATATATATAAACATACATATACATGTATATATATATATATGTATATATATATATATATATATATATATATATATATATATATATATATATACATATATATACATATATATATATATATATATATATATATATATATATATATATATATATATATATATATATATATATATATATATATATATATATATATATATATATATATATATATATCTTTGTGATAACTCCTGGGAGGGCATTTTGTAATAACGCCAGGGAGGGCATTAGTAAAAAATTGCTTCAATTCTTTCTTAGTGGCATATTTATGTCACTATGGAGAACCATCCAAACCACGCAAGTGTGAAAACATGGATGTAAACATGCCAAAATATATACATAGCGAGGAACAATTACTAACAGTTAATAACTGTATATACTTTAGCACGTTAGGATAACCTAACCTGACAGATATATATGCAGTTATTAAATTTATTAATTAAGTGTACCTGTTACCCAGCAATTTATTATTTTGTTATTGAAAATTATTTATTGTATTATTGTTTATTAAATACTGAATTTTAATATTTTATCAAATACTGTTATTGGATTGTAACATGAATGAACTTTTTTTTTAACTAAACTACAACAGCTTAACGTTCACTATTGTGGTTACATTAACTATATTGATATAACATTCACTTATGATTATAAATAACCAAATATAAAATATCAACCCACCTGGAAAATAATTTAGATTTTTCTTTGCTCATTTAAAAAAAATGTTATTCCCTATCAATGTCATGTGTTGTTCAATCATCATGTGGATCAATCAATATAATTTTTTCCTTTTCCTTGATTAGTTTATTATTTCAATTAAATGTATTAAAATTGGTTATTTCATTTTCATGTTTATTTCAAACACCCAGTGGCGGATTAAGGGAGGGAGCTACTTTTTGTATTATTTTTTCATTATTCATTATTCACCTCCCCAATGCCCGAGGGGCCACTACAGTCAAGGAGGCTACTTTTTTTTTTTTTTTTAAATCGTGGTACAACCCTCTCAACTCTTTAACTCCAAAACACAACTCTTACAAGCAAGATGGTAGTCGAGCTCCGAACCTCTCACATACAAAGCGAGCGCTCTTACCACTACAACACTGCCGCATATTGACCCGAGCCCCACAATTTAGGGTATATAAAATATTATGAAGGACTTTTTACTTTTACTTTTTAATATTTTTAGCCTCTGACACATAAAAAAAAAAAAATCCAAAAAAATTAATAACCCCAGACCCCAAGAAGTATTAATCTGCCAGTGCCAACACCTTTTGTAAAGGGGCGTTAGAATAGTATACGACCGTCGTTTTATTATTCTTAAAAATCCCCTAGTTTATTGAAATCAGAGTACCCTTTTTTTTGGTGAACCCAAATACAGCAGTGTGAATATTTTTTTAAGGGGACAGGGGGAACCCTATTTGGTCAACTAAAATAAAAGGTCATCGGTTTCTTTGATATCTACAAGCTTAAAAATTCGTAGGTGAGACAAAGTTCAGGTTCGGTTTCCCTGGATTTTAAAATTTATTAACGTGCCCCAAGCAAACCTAATGGCTTCTTAGAGCACTTTAACAGTACACTGCCACAAGAAGATTATCATTTAATAAGTAACTTATTAAATGGCCTAAGTTAGCTCTCCGTTTCCAACTTCACCAAAAAGGTTTATGTGCTTTGAGCACATCTATAATAATAGACGTTCAAATTTAAATTTGATTTGTTGCAGGGGCGTACTAACAGGGGTGTGTGGGGAGGGGGGAGATGTGTGTAGACCCCCCTAGATATGCAAAATTCTGTCGGTTTTTGACGAAAAACTCGAAAATTATGGCTTCTGTCGGTTAAAACTGAAATTTGGCTTCTAAAAAAAAAAAAAAAAAACGATCTTGTCGGTAAATTTAGCTTTTTTCATTTTCACCCCTCCCCCCCCCCCACGTTTTTGTCGTTCGGTACGGCCCTAATTCGTTGGAAGAAATTTGAATGGTTGTTTGAAAATTGTTAGTACATTCGTGGATCTTTTTAATTTTCTTGTTTTAAATGACGCATCAAACTTTTTTTTAATTTTGTCGTTAATAGTTTGAAGTTCTGTTGAGGGAGGGGGGGTTACTCCCTTTAAAGGGGGTAAGTCTAGCCCTCCTAGCAGTGGCGAATTAAAACTTCTTGGGCTATTGTGGTTTTTGTAGGCCTTTTTATAAGCCAGAGCCTAAAAGTGACTAAAAAAAAAGGTTCTCAAAAATTTAAAAGGCCCCTAAATTTGCGGGGCCTTGAAATTTTTTAGGAGTAGTTACCCCTCCACCCCCCATTTGTATAGGCCACTGCCACTGAATGGTCTAAAAGGTCTATATTGGGCGACTGATTTGTCATAATGTCATCATAAATGACAAATAATGCTTTTAACATTTTGTGGTTATAAAAATAACCTTTTTTTTTAAATCAATAAATGTGAAAATGAAGAGCTTAATGTTGGCTTTTAATTTGAATTAACGACTTTCTTTTTCTTTTTGGTAAAGGATTATTTTCAATATCTATGATATTATTGCTGTTAGATTGAACATTACCATTAATTGGACGAACTGAAAACTGCGACTTGATTGTATTGTCGTTGTAGCCAAAATCTCTGATAGACGGATTATCTTTTCTGCGACCAATTGCACGTTGTCTACCAAAATAGTTTTCAAGGTCATCTTGGCAGAATCTCTCAGAAAAAACAAATTGAACACCATTTTCAAGTAAAAATTTAACAACTTCTTTGAATGAATGCACTGTAATTTGCAAACCTTCATAAGTTTGTGTAGAAATAAACATTTTTGATTTTGAGCTCTCATCAAAACTTCCTTCTCTTTGATCTATAGATTCTTTCCACAATTTAAAGTATAGGAGAAAGTTATCTAACCAAGTAAATCGTGAATCATCTACTGTTTCATATGGTTTTAAAAACGGCTTTCTTTTCGTTATATATTCAGCACTATTTTTTACATTAAGACAATCAAAAAACATATCCATCATTAAACAAAATTCTGCTGTTCCAGCAGCTTCGGGTGGTCCAAACTGCTTTAAAACATTTCCGACTGTTTCGCTCAATACTTGGGATGCAAGTCGTACTCTCATTACAGAATACGGTGTTAAGTTTATATGATCGCTTGTTAGTTTAGGAACAAGTTTCAAACCTCTTTCTAAATCCGAATTATAAAATGTTGTAATATGATTCCAAAGAAGAAAAAATCCACTATTCCACATGTAGCGTGATTTACATCCAGAACCAGAATTACTTAGGCAGTTTCTAGAAGTTTTAATTAGATGAGGTACATCTGCAAAGAAAAAGATGAATCTATTATCATTACTAAATAAGTTTTTAGTGCGATATATAATGTCTTTTCCTGAGCCACCGTCTAATTTCTTATGCATTTTAAAAAACTTTCTATTTGGAGATGCACCATCAGCAGTTGCAGCAATTACTTTCAAATTTATACTTTCAAGATAACGTACTGCTTTCCAAAATATTGGCATAAGTTGTGTTGATGTTACTCCAGTTGTGGCAAATGTTGCTAGACTATAGGAAAGTGGGTTTACTACACTTTTAACATGAAAAACTAAAACATAAGATGCTAGCTCTCTTACATTTTTAAGTGTTGCATAGTTTGTTTGAACATCTCCTAAATCTACAAATCCAATCAACTCACCAGAGTACTTATCCCAGACCAAATCTTCTTGAACTTTCATTTCGTCAAACAGAATTGTAACAAATCGTTCAGCACTAGAGAAACTAGCAGTTTTATATGCAAGATCACTTATGACTTGAGGATTAAAACCTCTTGAAGGATGTATATAATTTTTATAGTCTCTCAATGTGCGTAAACTTGGAAGAACTAAAAACCCTGAACCAGTCTTACTATCAAAACGCAAATCAGAATATGCTGACGAAGATTTAGCTGCTAAATTAAGACAAAATTTTATTATCATTGGATGATACTTTACGCTACAGGGACTAGAAGCTTGAATATATTTTTGCTGCTCGTTCCAAAATAGTTTTATGAAGTCTGGAATATTTTTTTGATTAAAACTAGAATACAATGTTTTAAGGTCTTGGTCAAGTTCTAAATTAACCTTTTCACTTTCCATATTTAAAACTGTTTTCATTTGTTCAATTTGACTTTCCAACTGTTTGCATTTTAAACGTTGTTGTTGCAAACTTAATTTAATTCTTTCTGTGGAGGTAAACTTAAGAGGAGCGTTCAGTTTTGCAGGTTGTTTTAAAGTTTTATTTTTATTATTTACTTCATAATTAGATTTAAGTTGCAAAGAATGGCATGAAGAACAACAACTTTGGGATTTTATTAAAACATTACAACACGGTGAACGATAAAACTCATCTTGATTTAATCTAGGTTTATTAGGAAGCAGCTTAAAAAGCAAGTAATTAAATTTTTTAGTTATAACATGTTTTTCAAATTTAAAATTTTGGTTAATTAAGTCTAAATTTTTTACTTCAACACCTGGGCAAAGATTAAGAGTTTCAATATGACTTATAAATTTGGATAAAGAAACATTAAAAAAAGATCCTTTATATTGAAGGTACAAAAGATGATCTATTGGTAACATCCAACCAAAAATTCTTATACAATAGTCTAGCAACTCGTCGACATAAATTTCGAATTTAGGTAAAATATGTTCTGGAGAACTACAAGTAATAATTGCAAATCTCTCATTAAAAGATATTTTCCATCTTTCACTTAAAGAGAGTTTTAAAATACGTTTGGTAAAATCATCAAAAGATTTGTAACATAACGGTGTAGTTTGAGAAATCAACTCTTGAGTTTCTAAAAACTCCTCACGTTTTGTAATAGATAGCGAACTTCGCTGCGATGGATTACTTTTCTTGGGAAGATTTAGGGTTGGCAATGCTGCATCCTTTAAAATCTTTCGAGATGAGTAAACCCAAAATTGATCTTCAGTAAAGTGAAGCTCACAAATATAAAGATTAAAAGAATCAATTCGTTTTTTTAAAGAATCATCGATGAGTCTGTCTCTAGTAACTACGTTAATAAGGTCATTACTCCATTTCTTATTTGCATCATTAGTTGGAGTAGGAACTTTGAAAATGCTGATACCTTTGTGTCTTCTTGAAGTTGAACAACCAAATATTGCACAATTTTCACCAGGCATATCAAGAAAACTAATTTCAATCAAAACACAAATACAACTTAATAAAATAACGGGCAAACGCTAACAACAACAATCTTTTTGTGCAGGTTCAGAAGTCCGGAAACGAGAAAAAACAGTATGAAAGAGTTAAAACAATACGCTATTGTTCGCTTCCAAACTATTCTTTCTTATAACTATGGTTTTAATTAATATTTTGCTTTAGTTTCCTAGTAAAAAATGAACAAGATGACGTGTGTACATTTGTGTATAAAGGGTATATATATATATATATATATATATATATATATATATATATATATATATATATATATATATATATATATATATATATATATATATATATATATATTGGATGTATTAATTTTGGATATCTGAAAAAACTGAAAATTAAAAAAAATATCCGGAATTCCGGAAATATCCGGAAAAAGATAATCCCTGAACAATAGTATAAAATAAATATGCATGTGCCAATATTCAAATTTTGAACATTAGGTCAGTTTGTTTTTTAACACATAATAATCTCAGTTTGTGTTAAAAAATAAACATTCTAAATGGTTTAATAATTTTTTTTTTGCTCTTCAAAAAACTTTAATAAACAACTATCTTAAAAAATTAATTTCAATTATCAACAATTATCTTTAAATTTAAAGAAATAGTTTAAATCTTTTAAACAAAAATAATGTAAAATTCATTCTATTTTGCGCGATAGCATTTTTAATTCTATTTTAATCTCATGTATATTTTCCTGATGATGTTGATTTAGCTTTGCTTTTTTAATTCCTCACACACACTCTCTCGTACAAATTTTCTACATTATCTGAATTAATAGAAAACCCACCTTCAACCTGTGCATTACCATGTAACAAAGACAATTTTAGACACTTCAAATAAGTTATTGAAATTTTGGCTTATAAAAAGGATTACAAAACATCCAACCTATCTTTATAAACAATAATTTGTAATTTAGATTCATACAAAATTGTGAGTAAATAAGTACTTTGTTTTTAAAAAGTCCTACAAACTGCTCTTCAATTGAAGCCAAATAATAAAAAAGTAATTTTAGCAGGTATTAGAAGATCATTGACAGCATCAGTAACAACGTTTAAAATATAATTATTAGGTAGTTAAGACTGTGTGACATACGATCCACATTAATATCTAAATCATAATATCTAAAGCTCTTTGCCATTAAGATACATCTTAAACCTATCTTGTTGAACAAAATTTCAGAGGAAACTTATCACTTTCACAAAATATTTTATTTTTTAAGAGCAGTACATGAAAAATTTTATAAAAACGTCTGAGTACTGCATTAACATTTATTTCATCTTTTTATGACCTACTTGAAACGCGCCATGTATAATATGTAGGGCACATGATCCCGTTTCAAGAATAGATGTTTCAAACTTTTATTAAAATAACCAATTTGGTAAAAGTGCATGACTAAGAAACACTGATGTGTTTCTTGGTCATGTACTGTGATGTGATCTTGTAGACACATGGTTAAATAACACCCCAATAAAAAACATAAGTATTCATTTGACCTTTTTGTACAAATTTATTCAAAAACACATCAAAACATACAACTATGTGTTTAGAGCTAAAGACCGCCTTTAAAACTAGATCATGGAAATACATGTGTGATGTTATAAGCTTCTTTAGTTTTTCCAATAGCCATTTTTTTAGCTATAAAAGGTACTATTGTGGTGGATTTGTTGAAATAATTGACATTGGTTGAAAAGGTTCGGATTCAGAAGCAATGAAAGTTGATGTTGATGAAACAGATGCTTATGATACTGTATTTTTCTGTGACTTATTAATAAAATAATCATATACTTTTGGTTCAATCACTGTCACAATAAAACAGTTGCCCTGACTTTTAAAAAAAATAAAGAGAAAATACCCGACTTTCCACTGATTTCCCTGACTTTACCCTTATTTCTAGTTGGCTGGCTATCCTGAACTATAACAAACTAAGAAAATAAAGAAGTTAAGTTACTCTTTCATTTGGCCCAGTTGAGTTCCAGACGTAACAGATACTGATCGATTAGGGGTTTTATCTTTCCCTTTAAATGATTTTGTCGACTGCGTTCGAGATATTACATTAGTGGTAACATCAGTGCTTCTAAAGTTCAATTAGTTTAAAAAGTTGAAACTGATCAATAATCTAATATTTTTGTTAATTTAAAAATTTTTAAAATTTAAATAAATGCTACAAACTTCTTTTTTATAGCTCCAACATCCTTGCGAATAATTTTTTTAGATAGTTCTTGTACCCATTGTTTTTGCTCGTCAACATCATTAGCAAGTATTAGTAAATCTTTGGCAGTAGCAAGATCAACAGTTACTAAAAAAAAAAACTTTATTACAAACCTTCAAAATTGAAAAATCTAAAATATAAGTTGATAAAAGACAAAGAAACCTTTGCATGGTTGAATGACATCTTCTTCTCGGTCTACATGATCCTTATGACATTTTACACGACATCCTGATAAAAACAATAATAACAAAAAATTTAATTTAAAAAAATAATATCTATTTCAATAGATTATATAAGCAAAGAAAAATATTTTATAAAAATTGAATAAATAAAAATTGAATAAATAAAAATTGAATAAATAAAAATTGAATAAATAAAAATTGAATAAATAAAAAAATTCCCATTCACAGATTAAGCTTTTTGTTTTAATTCAATTTTAAGAAATTTTTTAAATTAAGACACAAAACTCTCATTAATTTATTTGGTGATGACACAAAACTAATTCCAAGCATAAGAAATTCTATCGACAATACTTCCTTTCCAAAAAAAAAACAATAGTTTCAAGAAACTAGTAAATATAATTTCAAACTAATTAAAATAAAAAATACCGATATTACTACAACTTTTTTAAAATACCAATAATAAGTATCTAGGTTACTATTTTTTAAATAGTAAACGTACAATAAACATTTAATTAAGTACTTTAAGGTAAGGCTTTAACAAGTAACATTGACATATGTTAGAATGTTTTTACCCATCACTATTGATGTTGAATAACTATAACTATCTGCATAACAGTAAGTCTAACAGTAAGGTGTAAACTAACATTTTTAGTTTTTTTATTGCTGAAAAACTTTGGTTAAAAGATAAGTAAAACCATAATATAATATCATTTTACATGTGTTTTTATGATGCTGTTTATAAATACTATGCCTTTAAAATTTTTTTGTAGCATTCTTTTTTAAAAGCATATTTCAGTTATGAGGGAACATTGACAGGAATGCTTTGTCTCCTCATGGGCCAAGAATTAAGCAAAAGTTGACAGAATGTCTTACATCTGATAAATCTATCATAATAACATGTATAACTTGAAACCATATTATGATGTTTTGGAGTTTTAAAAGATTTTTGAAACTATATCTACTTCATTCTTTTTTTAAAAGAAGACATAAGAGTTATTTAAAAAAATTTTGTGGTTAATGTTATAAAACAGTCAGAAGTTTCAAAAAATTGACAAATAAGAGGCAAATAAATTATATTAAAAATGACATGATTAATTAAAAGTTACTTTTTCTGTTAATTTGATCTTTAAGTTTAGGGTCGGCTTTGTTAATATGGTTAACACTAAACTAAAAGAGGTAGTCTAAAAAAAATGTACCAATACATCAAATGTCAACAGACCTAAAAACAGACACTTGCAGAAAGGTGAAACCTGCACCTAATAATGTTGCATAAAACTGCTAAGAACAAAACATCAAAACCTAAAGATCTAAAAAATTATGTTGTCGCGGGAATTAAACTAAACACCAAAAATTCTGTCACAAAGAAACCTAGTTTATAATCCATAATATTATTTTACCCATATGATTTACCATTAACATCATCAAAAATAAATGTTAACACCAAGGATCGCAAGCTCAGTAATTAAATTATTGTACAAGCAAGGTAAAACAGCCAGGTTGATAAAAAAATGACATTAGGAACCATCAGTGAGTTGATTAATACAAAACATTTTGATAAGTGAAAAATATTACAAGATCAGGAGCTAAATGTAAAATGTCATCCAGAGTTGATTGACAAGTTGTCAAAATGGTGCAAAAAATTGATCTGTATTAGCACAAAAAGTTTCAAACCTTATTGAAAAAACTCAACATGCCAATATACTATTCAAAACAAACTTTTAGAAAATAAATTTAACGGAAGAGTTCCAAACAAGAAAAAATTTTAAAAACCATTTAAACGCATCCAGAATGATAATGACAACATGTCATTATCATTCTGGATGAAAGTTTTGTTGACTGAAAAAACAAAAACTAATTTTATGAAGTCCAATAGAGAAAAAAAAGTGAAGCATTTAATCAGTTGCATTTGAGAAACAGCAAAACTGGGTAGAGAGAACTTTATGGCACGGGGACCAATAGCTTGAAGCAGAAGAGGAATGCTAGGGTTTATTGATGGAATTAAGGACTGATGTTTATGTCAACATTTTCAATAAAATTTTCTGGCCTCAACTGTAAAACATTTTATATTCTAACAAGACAATGATCCTGTTAAACCTGTTAAGACCCTGAATGTAAAAGAAAGCAAAAAAGTTTTCATCCAAAAAAGTTTTTCTGATTGAGCCACTTTAATGACAAAACTAGTGTTAAACTAGTAATAATTTTTATTAAAAAAAAAGAAAAAAAAAAAAGAAATTCTTTAATATATTCAAATATTTTCATATTAAAATATCTCCAAAGATATCTTTCTTTCACTTAAACTAGCAACTTTTGTAAAACAAGTATAGAAAAAAATATTTATAACAAAAAAACTTAGGCAACATACTTCGACATTCGACAGCTGGTGGTGGTTTAATCATATGCCACATCTGTCTTTGACACATATCACATGCATTTGGCATATGATAGTGCATGACAACAAACTGATGATCTTTAAATGGAATGATAAAAGCAGCTTTATCCTGAAAAAATATTTTTAGATACATGTCTGAAATTTAAACATTAAAAATATCTAAATAATGATACAATAATAAATTAAGCCCAATTATATTAGTCAATAACAAACACACACTGATTTCAAATACTTTACGTTAATAGGTTAATAAAAACAAAATATTTCAAGCAAACGGAGATTAAACTCAATTACAACTAGGCAGTGCTATTAACTCATACCCTTAAATGTTGAATGTGATTTAACAAGTTAAATTTTAAATATGATTAGGAGTTATAGCATTAAAAAGTAGAGAAGTAAACAAAATTAGAAGTTTTCTCCTAGTATTGAAATATATAAAGGTAAACATTAAATAAAAAATAAGGTGATATATAATAATTTTTAATACTTATTTATAACTGGTACACTTCTAGTTTATAAGTAACTTTTTAAGATAACGCCTCTTAAGACTTTTTTGGACAGTAAGGTTACAACTTTAAACTAAATGCATATTCATAATAAATTACCTCAGCTAGATCTATTTCTGCTTTTTCTTCAGGATTTTTACTTTCACCTTCATTTGCATACAATATCTAAAACAAAAAAAGTTATTGAAAAACAATTTTTTTTTAAAGCAGAGGAAAATATACTATGGCTATCATCTATCTGTCAATATATATATATATATATATATATATATATATATATATATATATATATATATATATATATATATATATATATATATATATATATATATATATATAACATATAAATGTATATATATATATATATATATATATATATATATATATATATATATATATATATATATATATATATATATATATAAATGTATATATATATATATATATATATATATATATATATATATATATATATATATATATATATATATATATATATAAATGTATATATATATATATATATATATATATATATATATATATATATATATATATATATATATATATATATATATATATATATATATATATATATATAAATGTATATATATATATATATATATATATATATATATATATATATATATATATATATACATATAAATGTATATATATATATATATATATATATATATATATATATATATATATATATATATATATATATATATATATATATATATATATATATAAATGTATATATATATATATATATATATATATATATATATATATATATATATATATATATATATATATATATATATGTTACCTGAAATATTTTGGGTATGTCTTTTACATCAACTCTCATTACATCGCCCTGAGTTACTGATCGAACATGAAAAAGTTTTCTAAAGTAGAAATTAATACTTAACTTCAGAAAAAACAAAAAACAACTATTATTATTATTGATTTCTATACATACGCCTATATGACCACAATGTATTTTATATAAAACTTTTTTAAAATTATTTAAAAGGTTTTAAATTTAAATTTAATACACTTTTAAAGTAAAACCACAAGATTTATACATTTTTAATTCTACTGTTTGTCTTTAAATATATTTTCACCTCCATAAAAGTTACATGTAGCACAAAAATTAAAATAAAGAATAAAGTATTATGTCTCTGAAATGTAAATTTTTGTTGTCAAGTTAATGATACATTAACTCCATGACAACAAACAAATGTGTTAATATTTTAATACATCAAAAATATTTAATTGAAACAATAAAAACAAAAAATTATCAAAATAAAGAATATTCGTTTTCATGAAATGACAAGGTACTATATTATTAATGTTTTAAATTATGAAAAACTTTAAAATAAACAATTACCCAATATCTAAGATCATAGAAGGTGTATTAGTTGCTTTGTCTTGTTCATTATTAAAGAAAAATATTTTTTGCCGGCTTACAACTACATATTGTTTCTTCCATTCAAACTTGCGTTTTAACTTTTTCTCTGGAATAGATAACCAACCTTCTAACTTGACAGATACTAAAAAAGATATATTTCGAAAATGATTCTGAAAAATAAAAAGACATATGTAAATCCTATACAGTTTATACATAATTGAAAATATATTTAAACATAATTAAAAATGAAAAGACATATGTAAATACAGTTTATACATAATTATGATGCAGCATAAAATATGCAGCTACTGCAAAAAACTCATCAAAATTATGTTTTCACTAAAATTTTTTATAAAAAGGTTAAAAAAAAAAAAGCTTGTTTAATTGCTAATAAAGTGTGACCACATTTTAGGCACAATTTTTTTTATTGTAATGTAAAATGATGCACTACCTTGTTGTGTAATCATGGGATCTAAATCAACTGGAACTAAAGCTCGTAAGCTTTCTAATTCTTTATTTACATTTTTATTTTCTTCTTGAAGTTGTTCAATGACCATGCCTTTGGAATCAAGCTCCATCTAAAAATCTCTTGTTATATTAATATATGTTAAAAGATTAAAATTTAAGCTAATTAATAATACACAAAATAATAATAATAAATAAAAATTTTGGTATATAAATTTGCCAAATTGTCACACACAAACATACCATAACTTTAGTTAATGATTCTTTAAGCTTCTCCAATTCCTATAAATTTTATAAAATAAACACAATATATGCAATATCAATCAAGTGAAAAATAAAAAAATAAAAAAATTAAGACTTAAATGATATAAATACTTACATACATATATACATACATTTTGTGTAGCTTTTGTATTTTATTTCTAGTAAATGTGTAGTATTACTTTTTTTGTAGTAAGCCTTTTAAATAGTTGTTTTATATTTACATTTTGTTTTATCTTTTATTTTTTTTTAACAAAAATTTTTCAAATTTTTTGTTTTACTTTTATTTTATTTTGCATTTAGTATATTTTATATTTAATTATATTTAGTAATAACTATTATTAATAATATAATTTTAGTAACTATATTTAGTCTTATGTCATTAGACTTAAAATACATATTTCTATTTTAAATTTTTTTATTGTAAGAACGATTTTAAAATCTGATTATGCTTAATTTTTAATTTATTGAGGTAACAGCTATAAAGTCATTTTATATATTTATATAACTTAGTTACTTTAGGTAGGTCGAAAAAAGCTCATCGACACCCCTATAAAAACACCATCATTTGTGTTAGATATCCTAGGTACTAGGGGCATTAAATGAAATACTAAAGAAACACAATTACAAGTAGACAAATTTAAATTTTCTTTTTAATTGAATATAAAAAATAATCATACAATAAAATATGAAGACAATCTAATTTTTTATTTTATAATTGTCATTGCTATGATACTATTGCTATGATGCTATGAACTTTATTTTTTCCTTTATTTATACTAATTTAGTTTTTTACAAGCTATAAACAAGCTATTAGTAAGAAGGTTTTTTGATATATCTTAATTATTATATAAATTTGTTTTTTCCTTTATTTTTTAAGCTTTGTTAAAAAAAAGCTTTCTGGTAAAAGAAATAAAGAATTTTATATCACATTTTATTAAATTCGTATTTGTATTTTATACACATTTTCATATTTTTACTTAAAAAAATACTTGAATTTAATAAAATTACAGAAAGAATAGTTTTGTTAATTAATAAAATCAGAAAACAATTTTAATAGTCATGTTATAATTAATCTGCTATGTTGTATTTGTCATAATTTTTTTAATGCAATATATTTGTAACAATTTATTGCAAGATTTTGTCTTAGATTTCAACTATTTTAGGCACAGTGCTTTTAAAAACCTTGCTTATTTAAAAAAAGCCTAGAATTTAGTACATTCATGTAACTGTTAAGATTATTGCGTTCATTAAAATGCATCACTTTTAATCAATGATTCATTTTATCATTAATAATGACTCATTTTATGGATCACTTAAGCTAGAACTAACTATTACTATACTAACCTATGTAATAATAGAAGCATAACGATGTTAACAATAAAAATCATATAAAGAATACCTTATTCAATTCTATGTTTTGACTCTGAAGTTTGCTAAATGTACTTTGGTACTTTTCTTTTTCCTAAAAAAAAAAGGTAGGTAGGAAAGTTTAATAAAAATAAATATTCAAAATAAAAAAAAAAAGAAAATTAACATTTTCACAAAACTACCTGCTGTAACAACAATTGAAGTTTTTTGTTTTCTTTCTCTTTTTTCTTTAACTCTGATGAAGGTACTTTGTTTCCTTTTCCTTTTGAACCTCCACTAACATCTTTTCTTTGAATGATTTCTGCCAGTTTATTAACAGCTTGTATCTTTAATGTTTGTTCTTGCTTAACAGCTTTTTTCAATGCTTCAACTTCATCATCTTTTGCTTTCAATTTTGCTTCTTCATCAGCTAAATAATATTCAATAATAATAAAAACAAAAATTATATATATATACAAAAAAAAAAAAAAAAAAAAAAAAATAACAATAACTAATAGTAATTCAATTAATAACTATTAAAATAATTTATAAAAATTATTAAAAAGAATAGCTAATTTTATAATCATAGATAAATGAAGTATATGTATATTAGAAAATACCGCTTTTTATTTGCTCTATGCTTTCTAATCTTTTTTGAACCTCATCCTGGAGTTCAGATTCCAATGTTCGAATTCTTTCATTAGCCTATACAAGTTATACATTAGTCAATTATTTCATAAATAAACATAATTATTTCATAAATAAACATAATTATTTCATAAATAAACATAACTATTTCATAAATAAACATAATTAGTTATTTCATAAATAATTATGTAAATAACTTGATTAAAATTTTTTTTAAGAAGTCATTCCATATAAAACATAAAATACTTTAAGGAAGACATGGTATTGCATATTTTTGCTAAACTTTTTTTTAATATCATCTTTTAAGTGTACAGAGTATACAAAAACTGTTAAAGTCAAATACAACACACTGAAGGAAGTATTAGATGGCATCTCAAAGTCAAAGGTCCTTTTAAAAATAACATACCAAAGAACACCTTATCTACCTGGTTGAGAAACAAGGAAAAGGATTTTAGATGCTGAAACAGGATTTTAGATGAAAGGAAACAACCCGAAACGTCAGCGTATGAGGAAAGAGTAATTTACAAATTTGGATCAAGTCATTTTCAAATGGCTTCTGATTGTTCGTAGCAGAGATGTCACTGTCTCTGCTTTAATTCTCAAAACTAAAGACATGGAATTTGCTGAACGAATGAACGTTACAAATTTTCATGCTTCAGATGGTTGGTTAGACTGTTGCAAGAAATGATACAACATATCATTTAAAAAGGTTTCTGGTAAAGCTAATGCGTGTACAAGTGAAATGGGGAGGAAACCACGTTACCAACCATTTTATCAAAATATAAGTTAAACCAGATTTATAATGCTGACGAATTTGGCTTGTTTTATCGGCTCTAACTAAATAAATCTTTACATTTTAAAAATGAAAAATGTGTCAGTGGGGAACACAGCAAACTATGTCTTACAGGATTGGCATCCGCTAATGCATTTGGGAAAAAACTGCCTATGTTTGTTATTGGCAAAGCTAAATCGCCCAGATGCTTTAAAAATGTAAAGCATTTGCCCTGCCATTATCGCAGTCAGAAGTTGGATGGATGGCACACTATTCGAGGAATGGGTTTGTGAAATTGATTGGCAATTTACAAAGGAAGGACAAAAAATTGTTTTATTAGTTGATAATTGTCCAGCTCATCCAATCATTGATAGCGTCAAATCAATAGAACTAATCTTTTTACCACCAAACAACTACCTCGAAGCTCCAGCCGATGGACCAGGGCGTGATTAGGTCACATAAAGTCCATTATAAAACATTAATAAAAATGCATATATGAAAAAAAAGCCTCTTCTGGAATTTACTATAATGGATGCCCTGCAAATGCTTGATGTTGCTTGGGGAAGGTGAAGACCGAAACTATTTGGAATTGTTTTGTTAAAGTTGGAATTTCAGAGAAAATGTGTTTTGAAACCTCGGTAGATGTGGATGATCCCTTTAAGGATCTCAAAGACCAGTTAGAAAAGCTTGCTGTTCATACATCCGACTTCTTCCCTGAAGGGACAACAGCAAAAGATGTTGTGTCCATGGATGATTTTGTCAACACTACCGAGCCGATGAATGATGATGAGGAGATTATATCAGACGTTTTAGGATAAGAAAATTTTGAGGCTGAAAAAGATGAAGATAGTGATGTATATTTTTTGATCGAACCAACTTGCCCTCAATCAGGTGATGTACATCAAGCCCTGGAAGTACTACGAAGTACGAAGCTACATGATATTCAGTGATAACGGGAAGTGTATTCATAAATGTATAAACCAAATAAACTTAATTGTGGAAAAAGAATTATCAGAGAAGCTAATACAAGCGGATATGCGTAGCTTCTTTCATTGAACTTTTTTCACACTTTTTATTACTATAATAGTGCATATTTAATGTTTATACTTGAGCATTGAATAAATAAAAATCGCCTTAACTCGAACTAATATCTCATTTCTGTCAAAGTTCGACTTAACAAGACTTTGCTTAAGTTGAACATTTGTTAAGTCTAACCATTTTCCTTGGTCCCTTGAAGATTTGAGTTATCGGGAATTAACTGTATGTGCATGTGTATATATATATATATATATATATATATATATATATTATATATATATATATATATATATATATATATATATATATAATAATAATAAATAAGTATGTCTCATTAAATTTTATTAAAAAAACATAAATTTGATAACCAAACATTTACAATAAAACCTTACCAAAGTAAAATGAAAAAAATCAATTGTAACATTTTTTTTAATGCTTTAACTGATTCTTTTTTTTTTTTTTTTACTTATAACAAAATAAAATTAATTTAAAAATAATTTTTTTTTTACTTCTTGTAACTGATTCAACTTTTCTAAATTATCAGCTTTATTTTTAGCAAGTAATTCTTTGATTTCAAGTTCAAGCATTGTCTTTTCTTTCTCAAGATCAGATATTTGCTCCTCTGCAATTGATCTTGCTAATTCTTCCGATTCAGCTTTTGCTAATGCTAACTCAAGTTGAGCTGAAAGAGAGTCTCGTTCTTCTGTTACCATTTGAATATCACTTTGAAGACATTGCACTTCTTTTTTTCGTTCATCAACTTCTTCTTTTAATTCTCTTACTTGTGTTTTATATAAAGTCTAAACATTTATAATGATTTATTTTATCAAAATTAAAAATATAAACTCAAAACTTTAAATTACAAATAAATTTAATAAAGAATAACCTAAAATACAAAGAAAATCTAAGCTTACTGAGAAGTATTGTTCAGCTTCTAGTTGATCTTGCAATTCTTTCATTTGAATATCATCTGCTGCAGAGGCACTGTTAAAAAAGATAAAATTAAAAAATAAAGGTGAGTGTTTAATAATTGGCAAAATCCCTCAATACATACATTTAGAAAGTGTCCATATAACTGATAAAATAGAGGTTAGTTAACACACCAGCCCTCGGAATTAATGTCTGCATTCGACAATGCCGACCTCAAAGTGTTCAAGGTCAGCAAAAAATTGCTGCCCTCCTTTCTATATTTTGTGGTAACCTTTGTATCATATTTTTTTTGCTGACCTGATGCCGACCTCTAAAAGATTGAGGTCAGCAAATTATTGTCAACCTCATTATTCCTAATTCCAAGGGTTGACACACTGATATTTAAAAATCGTGTTAGTACGTCACAACAATTTAAGAATATCTACTTCGATTTTCAAGTAGTGATTAAATAGTTAAGTTTTTTTAATTAGTTTTGCAAAAACAGTATAATAGCATTCGGTTGAAAGACGTCATTAAAAAAAAGTTATTAAGTAATAGTTTTAAATAGTTTAGAACTTATAAAAAAGTCTTACAGGGCTCGTATTAAGCGTATCGCAATTGCGATTGTTACACACATTTTTGTGATTAGTTTTTTTCTTAAAAAAAATCTTTTCGCAACTTGTTTTTTTTTTGGTTGATTAATTACTTTTTTTCTAGCTTAGCATTTTTTTTAGCAATTCTTAAAAGTAATGTTTTTATCATAAAGAACGTCACACAAAACTTATTATTCTGAATAGATGATTTGCTCTTTCGCGCGGAGATTTTCTTTCAACATAAAACTTTTTGAATTTAAATTACTTTTAATCTCTGCGTGGAAAATTTTTACAAGGTTGTTAAAGCGAAAAGTTGAAAAGTTGGTTTTTATCTTTGTTTATCAAAACTTCATGTTTAAAATAAGGCTTAAAAACGTTAGAGCAAAAAAATTACTGACTTTTATTTGCATTTTTATACTGTTTGAAAAAAAAAAAAACTAATAAAAAAGAATTAATTATTATTTTATTGTTATTATTAATTCTAATAATTATTAACTAATATATTATTAGTTAATTCTTTTTTATTAGTTTTTTTTTTTCAAACAGTATAAAATTGTTATTAATTGCTATTATTAATTTTAATAATTATTAATTAATATATTATTAGTTAATTCTTTTTTATTAGTTTTTTTTTGCTAGCTTCATAGTTATAGAGCTATACTTCATGTTTATTTTAAACATGAAGTATAGCTCGATTTATTAAACCAAATTTTTTTGTTTCATCTTTTATTGGAAAAATTGAATTTTTTTTATTCGAAGAAAAGTGTTTTTTTGAAAATTAAATTTGTTAGTGTGTGTTCATTATTACGTTTTAGAAAAAATAATATACATCAAACATTTTTTTTTTTTATGCTCTTTCATATGAGATCATATCTTTATAGCACTTAGGGATCCCTTTAAACAGTACACAGTCTACTAAAGTAGAGGTATGCATGCATGCATGCATATATATATATATATATATATATATATATATATATATATATATATATATATATATATATATATATATATATATATATACATTATTACACATAGTACATTTCTGGAAAAATTATCAAAGTAGCATTACTTCTGGAACAGATGATATGCTGTTTAAAACGTTAAAATCAGCATGGAATGATCTTGAGGTAGACAACTAGGTAGGGTTTTACATAATTAGCTATCATTTTTGTAAAATAATACTTTTTTCTGATATTTTTTTTTTTCCAATTTTGCGCTCTTTGAATTTTTTTTAAATTTTGAATAAAAAGGTTTTGTACTAAATAGATATCTAAATTTGTAGTTATCTATGTAGTATGTACTATTAAGTAGTAAATTATTATTGATTTTTCTTGTTTAATTCTAGTATTCTTTATTACACAAAAATATAAATAGGTTTATTGTATAATACTTATATACTTCTGATTTGATTTCATTTTGAAAATGAAATCAAATCAAATCAGAATTTCATTTAAGAACAGGTACAAATTTCATACTCCCGGAGCAGTCCACTATGCCTGCTTTATGGCAAAAGGTAGGAAATTATAAGTTCATGATAAGAAAAAGTTCAAAGTGTAGTAAAAATGTAGTTTCATATCAAAAATTAGGAGTTAGTTGTATATTATCAAATATTAGGCTTTTTAAAAAATTATTTTTAGAGAAATAAATTTTTTTTTATAGGTATTTATTACCAAAACCTCCTCCTAATCTGGCAAAATGACTGAAGGATGAAATTAATTAAGTGGCAACTTTTGTCTCTGTTTTCTTTACTACCTGGTTTCTCAAAGCTGAACTATCTATGTGTGTGTGTGTGTGTGTGTGTGTGTGTGTGTGTGTGTGTGTGTGTGTGTGTGTGTGTGTGTCTATATATATATATATATATATATATATATATATATATATATATATATATATATATATATATATATATATATATATATATATATATATATATATATATATATATATGTACGCGACTAGTATGCTATATATATATAGCATACTAGTCGCGACTTTTGGGGACATGTTTTTTTTGTTCCCGTTCTGTTGTTTTTTTTACTTTTTTAAAATATTTTTATCATATTTAGATATTTTTTTTTAACTATTATTGTATTTCTATTTTTATTTATACATATTTAAATTTATTTTTTTATTATAAAAATATATTTTTTGTATTAATTTTTGTTATTTTTATTTATTTATTTTATATTAGGCTTGACCTTGATGCCTGGCCTAACCAAACCCTCAGTCGATGTAGCAGCACTCCCTTGCAAGTCAGGCTATTTGATAGTCAATGTATGTACTTTTCGTTCTCTATAAAATTTTCTTATGGATACACTTTTTTATAAAAAAAAATTGCTTATGAGGACAAAAAATCAACGAGTACACTAAAATGTCCCCGATACTGGTAATGTCCCCATAAGTGAAAAACTATAAAAATATATATATATATATATATAACTATATATATATATATATATAACTATATATATATATATATATAACTATATATATATATATATATAACTATATATATATATATATATATATATATATATATATATATATATATATATATATATATATATATATATATATATATATATATATATATATATATATATATATATATATATATATAACTATATATATATATGGTTTCTAGTTTGAATGGAAAGTTTTGATAATTATTAAAAGCATCTAAAACATAATTTTCTTTCAAAAGAAAAGTTAACAATTTTTTGTTTTATTTAGAATATGAGAGCTTTTTGGCAAGTGAATAGGTTTACGAAGTAAAATCTGATTGGGCCAGAATCAGTCATTGAATCTTTCATACAACACACATAGCTTCTGGACCCTTACCTTATTGTACTAGCCCTAGCTGATAAAAAACGTGAATAAAGAAGTGATGTTGCTCATAAACTATACAGCTATGAATTTTATAGCATTGTGCTTATCTAAACATGCATTCATAGATGTGTGTGTGTGTATATATATATATATATACATATATATATATATATATATATATATATATATATATATATATATATATATATATATACATATATATATATATATATATATATATATATATATATATATATATATATATATATATATATATATATATATATATATATATATACACACATATATATATATATATACACACATATATATACATATATATATATATATATTGCAATTAAAGATTACCTCTTTAACTTGTTGTATGCTTCTTGTAACTGTTTTCTTTCATCAAGTATTCGGTTACAGTCAGATTTTAGTTGTTGTTCTTTAGTTTTTTGTGTTGTTAGATCACTCATAACTGCATTTAATTCATTTTGAATATCACTTCGCTTGACAATCTCTTCTTGTATAAGGCTGTTCAAGCTATCAATCTAATTAAAAAGCGTTGAAAAATGCGTTCAAAAAAAAAATCTATGAATGTTTGTAAATACACTATATTTTAAAAATTTTACAAATGTTATGTATTACAATAACAAATAAAAACTTTTTATTTGTTACTGCAATATATAACATTTAAATGTCCAACCTCATTTAAATGTTCAAATTTTTTTTTTTTTCTTTTTTTTTTTTGTTATTCACCTCCTCAAGGCAGAGAAGGCCACTACAGACGAGGAGGCTACTTAATGGTGGTTATAACCCTCTCTTAACTCTATAACTCCGAAACACGGACCTTGATGAACAAGGCCGCTGCACGGAGAAACAAGTTGAGCGCGGTACTACCAGGGATGTGGTGGGATCGAATATACAAAAACATAAAACTTTTCTATGTAAAAAACTCTAAAAGTAAACTTACTTTATTTTGACTTGCTTGATATTCTTCTTCTAACCTTACATTTTTTTGTTTAATATTTTTTAAATCTAATTGTAAGTCATTCATTAGACGCTCAAGGTTTGCTGCTTTTGATTCAATACGAATTCTTTCTTCTCTTTCTTTCTGTATATCAGCAGCTAAATAATCATTTTAATTTTTTATAATAATTATAAATATAACATATTTAACATAATTAACATAGTAATTATTATAAGTGATAAACAAAACCAAATTATTGGCTAAAAAATAATGTTGTCTGATATTATTTATTATAATTGTCATTACTATTAGTAAATTAATTAGTAATTTTATTTTATAAAAATATTATTTTATTACTTGGCTATAGGTATAACTATTATGAGTAACAGTCAAGACAACTGCAAATGGGAAATTTAGAAGGTTCTATATAGCAATAACTGTATATCTAAGCATTGTAGATAAAATATACTTTATTATAATTGAATATCTTAAATGTGTGTTGATTTTTTTAAATATGAAAAATTGGGATACTTTACACACACACACACACACACACACACACACACACACACACACACACATATTTAAATATACTTGGTTACAACTGAATATCTTAAATATCTGTTGATATTTTTAAATATGAAAAATTAAAATATATCATATATATAAATGCGGTAGTGGTGTAGTGGTAAGAGCGCTCGCTTTGTAAGCGAGAGGTTCGGAGTTCGACTCCCACCACATCCCTGGAAGTACCGCACCCAACTTAATTTCTCCGCGCAGCGGCCTTGCTTGTCAAGGTTCGTGTTTCGGAGTTAAAGAGTTGAGAGAGGGTTGTACCACGATTTACAAAAAAAAAAAAAAAAAAGAGTAGCCTCCTCGACTGTAGTTGCCCCCTCTGACCTTGGGGAGGTGAATAATTGAAAAAAATATATATATATATACATATGATATATATATATATATATATATATATATATATATATATATATATATATATATATATATATATATATATATATATATATATATATTTAACTATATTTTAAATAAATATTTCATATTTTAATTTTTATATTTAAAGAAATACATGAAAGAGCAATATGTTGTTTCAAAAAACAAAAATAAAAAGTTTAAAGCTCACATTCTTTTTCTAATATCTGTATTTCCGATAATTTCTTTTCCTTTTTTTCAGTAGACAGTTTTCGAATTTGTTTCTAAACAAGAAAATTGTATTAAAAAAAATAAAATAATAATAGGAGTTAAAAAAAGAAATAAATAAAAACATAATTACAGCAGTGTTTGTTTTCTCCATTTCATATTTAGCTTTTAGCTGTTTAAGCTCAAATACAATACTAGCTTTTGATTTTTCAACAGTAATAAGTTCATCTTGTAATTTTTGCATGGCATTGGCATCACTTTTATATTTTGTTCTTAATTGATCAACTTCATCTTTCAATAAAGCATTTTGTTTTTCACAGTCTCGCCGAGCATCATTAGCATGTTTAACTGCGCTTATTTCTGCTTCTAATGAAACTTGAGCTTGCATAAGTTCTTTTTCAATATTACTCTAAAAATAAAACGTTAAAGTGTATATATAAACAATTATAATTAAAAATAAAAACAAAAACAGACTACGTTTTAAACAAAAAAAACATAGTTCCTGAAAATAAATATAAACTTCAAGATACCTTAGCTATTCCTAATAACCTGTTTTTTTCTAATAGATCTTTAAAAGCATGATCTGCAACTGCTTGGGTTTTTCTGTAATCGCTCTCAATTTTTTTTAATTTCAAATTTCCTTCAGTTTCTATTCGTAACTTTTCTTTTAAATCATTATTCTAAAAAGAAAAATATAATGACTTTTGAAACTAAGTATTCACAAAAGTCTTATTTTGATAAGGAAAAAATAATAATAATAAACTTTTATATTTCTTTTTTAAATTGTCTTTTTTTTTTTTTCAAATAATAATAAAAAAAACAAAACAATTTATTTATAACTTATTGATTATTTTTACCTCTTTTTCAACTATAGCTAATTTTTTTTGCAACTTATTGCTGTCTTCTTTAGTAGAATATTCATTGTCTAACTTTGATTGCAACTCTTGAACTTTTGCTTCAAGTTTTTTTTTTGCATCAGCTTCAAACTCTGCTTTACGTTGGTTTTCCCTCATATCGTGTTTATATAAGGCTGCTGCTCTTTCTAAATCTCTTATTTGAGCTTCTGCTTTTTTACGTGATTCCACCTAAAGACAGTTTACAAAACAAACACATTAACAAACAAAATGGAATGTGACAAACAAGAAGATTTTTTTACAATTTTACCTCCTCTTCCCAATCTGTTGTTAATTTTTGTTGCTTAAGCTTCAAATTTCTGAATTAAAAAAAAAAAAGAAATATTTAAAATTTATATCTAAAAAAAAAAAAACTCTAAATTTTGATAAAAATTTATTACTTAATTAGTTTTTCTGAGTCATCCTTAGAGTTCCTTTCATTTTTTAGTTGGTCCTCTAATTCTTGAATTCTATTTGACAAGTTTTGAATCTAAATATAAAGAAACATTAAATAAAATTATGATTGATGAACTTTAAGTTTTGATTTATAGTTTTCTAAATCAAAACTTCTACAGTATTTATTGAAGCATTAGCAATCAGTAATTTTGGTATTATGAGTTGATTCAATAAATAGGTTTTAATAATAATTTTACATGTTGTAATAATTTTGTCAAAATAATTAAATAATAAAGACACACAAATACACCAGAGTTTTAATTGCAAACCTTTTAAAAAGTGTTTATATAATTATTATATAATTACAATATCTTTATAATATAATAATGATATAAAAAATAATATAATTACTTTATCTTTATTATCATCTTTCTCTTCGGAACATTCCTTAAAAATTTTTTTCATGTAAATTATTTTTAATTATTATTCTGTATGATATATCATCATTAATAACATTTATTAATTGAAATTCAAATAATAGTGATAAATCCATCTTACCTGATTGTCTCCAATAATTCTAAAAAAACAACAATAAAAAAATTATTTAGTCTTAATATTTAACAAAAATATAAAAATATAATGAACACGCAATACTTTTACAACTTTTTTCAAACGAGTGCAATAAAATACAAATGATAAGATTGATGTTATTTTTTGCTTAGTTAAGTTGTATATATTCTTACCAAGTTAAGTTCTATATATTCTTACCAAGATTTATATTATCCATTAGGAATACCTCATCTACGTTCAAAGTTAAACGTAAGTTCTATATATTCTTTAAGTTAAGTTCTATATATTCTTTAAGTTAAGTTCTATATATTCTTTAAGTTAAGTTCTATATATTCTTTAAGTTAAGTTCTATATATTCTTTAAGTTAAGTTCTATATATTCTTTAAGTTAAGTTCTATATATTCTTTAAGTTAAGTTCTATATATTCTTTAAGTTAAGTTCTATATATTCTTTAAGTTAAGTTCTATATATTCTTTAAGTTAAGTTCTATATATTCTTACCAAGATTTAATGATTATAGACTATCAACTGTCTTTTTCAATCAAACAGGCTGGTTCATTTTCTTAATAAAACAGGCTGGTTCATTTTTTGGTAAACCAATTTGATTAAAGTTATAATAAAATTTATTGTAGTTCTTTAATGATTAATTTCTTAAACTAACAAAATTCATGTTAATCAGTAAGCAATGCTTTAGTCTCTATCTTTTAGAACTTTCAAGTTTACATTTATAATTTTGTGAAAATGTTAAAATTTTTTTTTTTTTTTTTTTGAAGCTCTTTATTTAATATTTTTATGCTTTCAATATTATATGTTTAACTTTTATTTATTATATATTATTATACACTATATATTAAAAATTCAAATTATGTCTTCAATTTAATTTAATGGGGAAAAAAAGTTACTCTGCCAGCAAAACTGAAAATGTCTTATGCATAATACACAATATTTTCAGTGAAATACAAGTTACAAAGGCTACTAAACCCTAATACAAGCATCAAATAATAAATTTATGTCAGAGAGAAACTTAATACTGGTTTTCAGTTATATGGGAGCTTGTAAAACAGCACATAGTAAAGGAATTTTTAACTAACAAGGAAGATCTTATGGAAGAAATTATTGTGATCTGGTACAATGATCCAAAGTTACTAATAACTATTAAAGATTCAATAGTAAGGGCACCACACTTTCAATGTTAGCTATTGAAACATGACAGGCTTTCTCTTTTTTTAAACAAAGTATAAAAACTCATGAACGTTGTTGGTCCTGCACTAGTTTCTAAGCTTGAGCTTCTATCCCATCATCATAAGGTTGCATCTCTTTCTCTATACCATAATACTATAATACTACCATGGTTGCTGTTCATAATACTTGGTTGCTGCTCAAGAGAGCTGCCATCACTTGTTTGATCAATTGAAACTCCATCTTCTGCAACTCGCCATTTTTTTACTGTAAATGTTCCTTCATGCTCAAAAATCTTTTATTTGTCTAGTTCTTTAAGATTTCTGATAATTTCTTGCTCTTCAACTTTTTTTTTCCTGTTAAATCCCAACTTAAACAGTATTTGTTTACAGTCTTGTTGGGAGTAAACTTGTTTGAATAAAAACAACAACAACAAATTATTAGCAAGAGAAAATTATTCTTTATAAAAAAAAAAGAAAAAGAAATATATATTTACACCTTGGTTTTTATTAATTTAAAAAACAACTATATTATTCATAATCCACTTCTATTAAAATTTTTTAATAAAAGTGACTAGAAAGCTGAACATCTGAAGCTGAAAAGTTAAAACTTTTAAACATAAGTGCATAGGAAGTCTAGATTAAACATAAGTGCATAGGAAGTCTAGATTAAAAATATCAGAGCAATAAAACAAAAATATTTCTACAACTAAATTTGCTAATTTTGTTAAAGTAATAAGAATCATGTTATAGCTTTGTATTACAGTAGAATTTCTCTAATTCAAATTTAATGGGGAAAAATAAAAGTTCGAATTAAAGAGATTTTCGAATTATAGAAAGTTGATTTTTTCTTAAGTGTTTTTCACGACGAATTTGCATTTAATCAAATTATGGAGGTTTTTGAATTAAGGAGATTTGAATTAGAGAGATTATACTGTATTAGTATCATTAGAGAAGAAATTAAAATAATGACATAAAAAATTAATATGACAGTAAAATTGCCAAATTTTTTTAAATAATAGAGGTAACTAATAACCTGTTATGCTTGGAATAAGTAAAACCAACAAACGGTAAGTGATTGCCTGCAAACACCTAAACTTATAATAAAAAAGATTCTCTAATAAAGTATACTTTTGTAAAAAATTAATAAAACTACACAAGATAAACAAAAAAAAGACAAAAAATGACATGCCTTTGATAACTCAAATGTTTCACTAGTTTTAGAGTCTGGTTCAGGAATATCATCAAAATTTGATGTATCGTCATCACTGGTCATTTCATGAACTACTGGAGCAACAGCTGTAAAAACACATTAATTTAATTTTACATTAAGTGTTTTTGATCAGCAAAACACATAAAAAAGCAATTGGGTGGTTTAATATAAAAAATAAAAACAAACAATTATCATACTGCTTCGAATATTGTCCCAGTCCCAAAGGTCAGTTTGAAAAAACTTTTGATTTTTTATGTCATCTATTCCGTTTCTACCAAGACGTTGATCTCTGCAATAAAAATAAATAAATTATAAACACTACAATTTCTCTATTTCAACCAGAAAATTGTTAACAAAGAAAAATCAGTCAAAAAATATTTCAAGTATAAAAATAAATTTAAAATCTACTAAAATTTTACTAAATTTAAAATCCAAAATTATTTAAAATTATTTAAAATGTTCTACTCCAAATATCACAAATTAAAAAAATGTAAAGTAAAAACTAAACCAACCTTGTTGTTAAAAACCCGCATATTAATTTTTTACAATTGCTTGACATCTCAATATAATCAGGAAATTGAAGAGAGGTTTTGTGATTCATGATTTTTCCTGAAATTCAAAAAATATATATATAATATTATTAAATAAATATATACTTTTTTTGAATAATATTGTTAAAGATTAACTGAAAAAAGAAAAATTCTGATTTTTATTAAATTTTTTTAAAATATTAATTACAAAAACCAAGAGTTTTTTTTTAAAAAAGAAATAATCTAAGAGCCACTTATTCCAGAGAACAAATTTGCAAAAAAGTTTTTTTTTATATTTAATATTTTAATTTTTTGAATTGAACTTTTAAATTTAAAAAAAAAAATGTTCAATTTGCAGCTAATTTTAGCAGCTAATAACCATGTAACCACATATTAGCAAGAATAACCAGTAGTTAAGGTTTCAAGTTTTCAATAACATTTTTTCAAAACATTTGATTTTTTAAATTTTTATTTTTTTCAAAACAGTTTTATTCAAGTTAAACATCCAATAAAAAATTAAAAAATTAGTAACAGAAAATTTTGTAGAAACCTATTATAACCGAATTATGCTCTTGAAAATGACATTCACCTGTTTTGCAGATAAGGACTGATTATTTATTATGATACTATCATTACCTCTATGAAGATTACCGTCCATGTTTACAAGCTGCTTCTATCCATACCCGCAATGAAAATAGGAGTTTTGTATTCTGTTGTTTATAGTGAATATACATTTATATATACTACATACATCTATAAATGCACAGTTATGTATATACATGGTGTGCATTTATATTCTATATTTATGTGAGAAAATGTATATGATACTGTGGCAACCTATCATCATATATATTTGGGTACTTTTATATCATATATATGGATACTTTTGCATGTAAATCTTTTAAAAGATAACTTTAAATGAAGAATTTAAAATTCAAAGAGAATTGAATATAGACAAAAAAAATTTCAAATTTCAAAATAAATTGGCCTTTTTATTTATTATTTTAACAATTATTTTAAAATAATTCTTTTCAAAATATATAAAAAATATTTATTTTTAAATAAAATTTACTTCCCTTCCCCCCACAATTTTAACTGCCTCCTTACCATAAGTACCAATTAAGGAATCGTCACAAAATGGTGGATCACCTAAAAAATCGTTTTATTTTAAAATTTTGAAACATTTAAACATAAAAGTGCATTAAATAATTTGAAAAAATGAATCTAAACATACCAACAATAAGTTCATATAAAACTATGCCCACAGACCAATAATCACATTCTCGCCCGTAAACACCTTGACTTCCTTGAGATTGTAAAACCTAAATTGAATTTTAAAGAACTCAAAAATTAGAAATATAAAATATCAAAATTTATTCTAAAAAATAATGAAGATTTTTTTTATAAACAAAAACCTTTAAATGACAAAAACAAATTTAGAAGTTACCTCAGGTGAAATATAATCTGGAGTTCCGACTGCAGTGTCAGAGCGTACCAAACCATCTTTGTCCATTCTCATGCAGGTACCAAAATCTGCTAATTTCAAGTGTCCATTTTTATCCAGTAACATGTTGTCTGGTTTTATATCTCTAAATATATGTAAAATGTTAAAATTTCTTAAATAAATTAGTTAGAGTACACAAATATTTTTTGCTTTTTCTTCTTCTTCAGAAACATTAATCAAGGTGATGATCCGACTGATTTCAAGTTTTTAATTTGAAATCAGTCATACCATTACCATGGTCATACTATCATAATCATCAAGATAATCATCATTACCATTATCATCATCATTTAGCATAATGTCTACAAGATAATCTTATCTAAAACTAAAACATAAGCTGACTAAACCAACCAATTGAAAATAACTAGAGCACCAAAAGAAGCCACCCAAAACACCAAGAAACACTTTTAGAGAAAACAAAAAGTGATCATACTGTTTTTACTACTGTATTTTCCTTTGTGAATTGAAAAAAATACTTTAAATGTTTTAGAATTTTTTGCAGGTTTTACAAATTATATTTAGAGTACAAAATGATAAGCAAAAAGAAAAGAAAATGGTAATAGTGTCATAGTACAGGCCTTGTGATGAATAAAAACTGCGCGACGCATAAGCACGACGTGATTTTTGACGTCATTAAACTCTTTTTATTTGCTTTTCATATTAATCGACATTAACTGCACCAATTTACTTAATTACCGCAAAACTACTTTAAATCATTAATGTAGAAATGTTATTATTTAAAAATGTTTTGGAATGTTTCGTTTCTTAAAATGTAAAAACATTGGTTTATTTACTCGACGTTTGACTACTAAACGAATAAAAAACATTATAACTAAACATTTAAAAAAGATAATAAAATATGCTAATATTTGACTTTCTCAACTACGTAATTTAAAGTTTTTCAAATAATTATTTTTTCTTTTTAAAAAGTCAGCAATTAATAAACTGGAAATTTTAATATTGTACAATTAAAAACTGTGCAATAGCTAATATTTTTACTAGCGATTTTATATAATATTTTTTTATTTATTTATTTTCATAAAGCGGTTGATAAGCACAATCACTCGTATTACTAAAAAACTTTAACGAACGTTTTGAATAGATTTTTAATGTTTACAAGGAATTTTATTTTTGGCAAAATAAAATAAAATGTTAGAATAAAAATCTTTATAGGTATAAAAGACATATTTCAGCAAAAAAATTATTCTTAAAAATTATTATTAAAAATTATTCGAAAAACTATTGACGTTCTATTTTTCAGCAGCTGTTCTTGAGCACGCTTCGTTGAGTTTCAGTTACTTTTAACAAAAAAGCGATTGTTATTATTTAAGTAATTTTTTTCGAGTTTATACAACTTTATACAAAAATTTTAATAGCTCTACTTTTTATTGAATCAAGTAGAATATGTTTTAATATTAATTCTTTTATTTTTTTTTTATTTGCGCTTACCAATTTTTAAATCGTTTCCTCGAAATTACTCTTAAATACTTTAAGAGTAATTAAGTTAATATTTTTATAAATATTAATTAAGTTAACTTTTAAATCTATGGAATAATTTTAAAATCTAACAAACCCCCGTAAAATAATTATTTATTAATTATTTATTAATTATTAAAGAAAGTATTTTTGTTCAATTTTATCGACAACTTTGCTATTGCTGAATAATTTTATTAAAATGTTAGCTTAAAAAAAATTTAAACTTTTTTTTAATCTGAATTTTTTCTACTTGTAAATAATGAGCATATTTAATTTTTTTGTAATTCAAACTTTTATATCAACTGCGTGCGGTTTTTAAAATACTTTAATAAATGTTAAAATAATCGTAAATTACTTCATTAAAATTCCGCTCAAAAATATCTTTAAATATACTCAAACAAAAATTTTTTTGCTCGACGCAAATAGCCCTAGCTACTCGCAAAATCGCTCTTGGATGACATAAAATTCACATCGCCCGACGCTTTATCGCAAGGCCTGATAGTAGTATTGATTTAACAGTTATTTTTGTAATTGTAATTAATTACATTAACTACAATTACAAAGTTCTGTTGACCATGCACCCCTTTTTCATCTATTAGGCTTACATAAATTAAACCTGCATTATATTGTTTTCTGGTTATTTTTAATGGTAAGAAGTTGCTTAGACTTTCAAAACTATAAAGAACTAAGAAAACATACCTTTAAATATGAATGATGTTGAATGGTGTATTTTCAAAAATAAATTTTTCACCATTATTATCATGTTTACCTGTGAATAAAACCATATTTATGAAGAGCATCAACAGCTAACACCAGCTCCATTATGTAAAAGCGTGCCCAAATTTCAGGAATGTCATAACCAGACATAAGGTTAATAATATCTCCGCCTGTAAGAAAATAAAAACAAGACCAAAAATTTTTACAACAAAAAGCATAAAAATGAAAAATTCAATAATGCAACTTAAAAAAACTAACCAGGCATATAATCCATAACCATGTATAAAAACTTTTCATCTTGGAAGGCATAATGAATCTAGAATTCAAGATGCAATAAAAAATGTGCACTTTTTTTTTATTCACATAAAATTTTATCATTTTTTTAAAATAAAAACAATATTCTTAACTTTAAGTTGATTTAAGAAATTCTAAGGAATATTTTAAGGAATCCTAAGTAATATCTTAAGGAATCCTAAGTAATATTTTAAGGAATCCTAAAGAATATTTTAAGGAATTCTAGGGAATATTTTAAGGAATCCTAAGTAATATTTTAAAGAATCCTCAAGAATATTTTAAGGAACCCTAAGGAATATTTTAAGGAATCCTAAGCAATATTTTAGTAATTCTAAGAAATATTTTAAGGAATTTTAAGGATTATTTTAAGGAATTCTAAGAAAAACTTTTTATAAAGATTGCATAATCATTTTTAAGATATTGAAAAAAAAAGTTTTGGTTTTTATATAATTTATTTCAGAAACAAATAAAATTTTCTACAGCTGAATTTCCAATTACCGTTTTTTCAATAAAAATGTTATTTTATTATGAATGATAAATAGTATAAAGAATAACTAATTTAAAGTTATTGACTAACAACAATCATGATTCCATTACTAATCATAAATAGGCATGAAATCGCTTATTTGGAAATCTTTTTCAATTTACATGATGGAATTTTTTTCATTCAACATTTTTTTTCTAATATACAAATTTTTAATAGAACTTTTTTTTCTACTATCCAAAATTTTTTATAGTACCACTTTTGAAATTTTAAATAGTAAAAACCATTCTTAGTGCACTCACTAACACATTTCATCACATTGGTTTGACAAGGTTCTAACTGATCTGTGATCAGTTTTGAGTAAATTGATGTCAAAAATTGTTATGTTCCCACCATAAAAATTTATTAGTTTTAATTGATAATATTTTTCACTCATGATAACATAAGCATTTGCCTTTAGTATCACTATTTGTAACTAAAAAAGAGTGTTTCACTCTTCATTGAAAAATAAATACCCCCAAAATGCAGTTGGAACCTTAAATAGTCATATTTTCATTATGACAAGGTTTTAACTGTGGTTATAATGGTAGTTAGAAACATTTTAGCTACTTTAAAATTTTGTGATTGAAGTAGCTGACTACTTTTAAATTTTGTAACTGAAGCAATAGTATAATTACTATATTATCAAACAAAATTCTACTGTTATATTATACTTAATAACCATTACATAATGGCTTAAAAGTTTAAAAGCTTTTAATCACATCCTACACTCTAAATAAAAAAGGTAGAAACTTCTACCTTAGGGTAAGATATGTGATATACACATAATAAGATATAATTTTTTACCTTTAAAGGTAGAAAATTGTATCTTTAAGGTAGAAAATTGAAAAGTATTTCACATATCCTACGTAAAAATTTCAACTTTTATTTTAGTGTGTATCAATTTATAGTTGAGGAAGCAATAGTTAGTAATCTCAGTCTTGGAAAGGTGCAAAAAAAAAAAAAAAAAAATACAGCCTTAAATTGTGTAAGTTTAAATTTTTGGTTAAAAATTCAAAACTCTAGAAGTTGATGGGCTAGTGTCTTCATTTTTACATTAAATTTGACATTAGCACAAGTCAAAGGTTCATTTCAATCACGGATTGATAATTTTAGCACATTTAGCACAGCAATGATAAAAAAAGGAACTATTTTGTAGATAAATAGCTTTTCTATTAAACAATAGTCGATGAAGTCTTGTAGATTTATTTGAATAACATATTAATAATGATAAGAATTTTTTCTGTTAACTTGTTTGAGGGTCTTTATCAATCCAAGTGGATTATAAAAACCAGCTATCCTTGTGAGCTTTTCAATTTAATTATGTTCATGATCCACTTTCTGGACACATAAATGTTTAGGAAGTAAGTATTTTGTAGTATTCAAGTTAATGCTAGGAATCTCTTTTTAAAAATGTAACATACTATTTGATATTATACTGTTCCAATTTTGAGGGATGCAGCAATTAGACCAAGCAACTAAACTGCTCACTTTTCCTCTTACACAACATCCAATACCTTGCAAAAGGCACTAGAAAAATGCTTTCCACCATTGTCCACCATGGATTCAGTCCATAATGCTCAGTATTGTTGTTTGGTTGTTGTATAATATGCTGCCAAGTTAATCACACTTTTGCTTTCTCTCATAAAAAATAGTTTCATTTCAAATATTGCTATCTTAATAGTTTCCAATTCATTTTAACCGATAACCAAAAACCACAGTTTTTGGTTGAAACCAATATAAATGAAAACAACGGTTTTCAAAAACGATTTTGGCAGTTTTTTTGTATAATGTTTTTTGAATGTTTATTTATTATAGATAGGTATAAAAAATCAAATTTGAAAGTAATTAAATTTTGATGTTATCATTTAGATTGCATTTTGTTGGAAAGCTTAACATGTCTTTTATTTTCAAAATTTTTAACATTGAATAAAACACACAAATATATTTGAATATAAAGTATTTGAATACTCAAATAGAATGGCCTATTCTTTATATTAAAGATTTTTATTCCTTAAAAAAACATACAGATATTTTTAGTGTTTATTTAGGTTCAACAAAATATTAACCTATAGGTATGTAATAAAAATAATTTATGATATTGTTTCTATCAATTATTTAACTTTTATGATATATTTGATGAAAATATATTTTAAAAATATATCTTCCAGATAAATCAAGTCATCAGAAATTTGCTGCCGGGTGTAAAATACCAATTCAAGAGATGTCAAAGGCATCTGTAACAGATGTAATTTTGTTGTAACATGCTCCAGTGGATCCACAACTACTTTGGGGAATAATATTTTGCATCATAGAATTACTATCAATAGCCCTTCGACTAGAGAATCACACAGCAGCTCAAATCCACCACCACCAAAAAAAAAAATTTAAACCATGGACAGTTATTATCATTTTTTTTCAATTTGTTATTTAGGTGCCCCAAGAAGTCCTAACAGTCTTGTCAAGGAGCACAGCGGAAGTGCATTTAACCAGGAAGTTCACGCCTCCTTCCTTACAGTGGCGTAAAATATGTCCAAAGCTCGTTTCGAACCTGGATCTCTTGCTTATAAAGCAAACGCTCTAACCACTGCACCACGGCCGCACAAAATTTACAAAATAAGAATCTTAAAGAAATAGTAGCTAATCTAGCTACAGACAGTGTTTCGATTAATACGATAACTAACAAAAAATTTATTTGCTCATTGATTCAACAAAGAGAAAATTATCTTCCTAAAAATCCAATAACTGTGATGAATTTAATCCATCAAGATTTTTCTGATAAAAAGGAAGCGATGAAACAAAAAATTATCAAAAAAAAAAAAAAAAAAAAGAGGGACAAATAAAATTAAAAAAATTATGAGTACACATCTTTGAGGCACAGAAGGTACATCGATGTCAACATTGATGTCAACCTGCATGAAAGCGAATGTAAGAAAATCTATAAACCTGTCCTGCTGAAAATCTAATACAAAATATTAAGGATCATTTGAATTCATTTGGTGTCTGTATGGAGATGTAGTAGGTTCTACTCAAGATGGTGCAGCAACCAACAAGCTCATGCAGCTAACAGACATTGTTGATCAGTTTTGCTTTAATCATGCAATTCATTTGGTGTATGCGACACGTTATACAAGTAAAATAAAGTCACAAAAGTACCAAAGCCCACCTCAACAGATGTCGAACACGTTTTTTCGAGCGGCACTAGTTTCTGCACAAAAATTAGATCATGATTATCTGATGAATCGTTAAAATCTTTAGTTTTCATAAAAAAATTTTAAAAATTCATTGTAAGTTTTATTTCGAAACATAAACATAGTTACAACACTTTGTTTAAATAACTTTTTGTTAATAATAAAATTCGGTTTTTCTTGTTAAATAATAAAACTTAGTAAGTTTTTAAAATACTTACTAAGTTTTATTATTTAACAAGAAAAACTGAAAATTACAGTTAACAGCAATGGGTAATAAAGCAATGGGTAATAAAAATGCATGACTGCAGGCCTTGTTTTAAATAAAAAATGCTTAATGCATTAGCTTAACACAATATTTGACATTAAAATAAAATTCTCTTTATTTTTTTATTTTTTAAAGACATTAACTTTTTTAAATTACTGCAAAAATATTAATTACAGCAAAACAAGTTAAATGTTATTTAACGCCTTTTTTATTATTACTATAAGGAAATGTTTATTTTCTTTAATTTTTTTTTTCAATATTAAATAATTAAATTTAATATTTCATTTTTAAAAATGTTTGATATTAACAAACTTTTTTTTTTCCTCAACATTCCCATAAATGAATTAAAATATGTTAAATTTTTGAATTTTTAAAATGATTATTTCTTAGATTTTTAATTGCGGCTTTGCAACTAAAAATGATTTTTTATTTAATAAAAATTAGTGAGTAACAAAATAGAAAAATTGATTTTTTCTATTGAACATTTATTTATTAAAATAATATTGCTGTATACATCGTTTATTAAAAACTAATTGCTGCGATTTAAACTTGCGTTACAAAAAAACAAGTTTAACTTACTTTTTGTGCAAATTTTTGATGTAGCTGTTTATTTTAAATTAAATTTTGAGTTAAAAAAAAAATGTTTAGGAAGAAAAACCGAAAAAAACAATTGCAATATAAATGAGCTAATTTTTTTAAGAATAAATAAAATTTCAATATTGAATAATATTTAGTAATAATTTTAAAAAAGTTTGACAGTTAAGTTAAATCCAAGCATTAATTTTAATTTTAACAAACTTAATTATATTTTTTAAATCTAAATTAAATTATATATATTTTTTTATCAAAATAAAATTATATATTTTTATTAAATTAGTTTTAAATTAAATTAATTCATATATGTTTTATCAGAATTAAATTATGTTTTTATGATCTTTGCTTCAAGCTTAAAAAATCAATCATTACAATAAAATAAAAACAAAATAAAAACAAACTTTTAATTTTATTTGAGTTTTTTTCATTAGTAAATAACGCGTATATCAAACACAATTGACATTCAAAGTTTTGTAACAAATATTTTTACATAAATGTCATTTTTAAAAAATAGTTCTTTTAACTTACTGCATATTGAATAACTTTAAAGCTAAAAAATGATAAAGTCGCTTAACCGAAACCACTTACTGGTTACATAAAATCGCTTAACGTACGCCTTAAGCAATTTTATGTATCCAGTAAGCATAATTATTTAAGCGTAAGTATTTTAGGTAACATTAAGCGATTTTACGAAATTGCTCTATGCGTAAATTCCTTATGCGTAATGCTTTAAAACAAGGCCTGTGACTGACCATCGGGGGTTAGAAGATTGAATTATTAAATTTAAAAAAAGAGTTTTATTTTATAGAAGTCATTTATTATTGTTTTTAAGAGTTCAACGCTGATAGAAACCAGCACTTTTTGTTGTGTAATGTAACATTATAAAAAAGATTTATAAAAAATAGCAAATAATAGCATTTTGTGATTTTTTTTTAATACATTATCATCAACTAAAACACTATACATTGATATTGAGACCAATGTTTTTATGATTTTTGATGAGCATGCAATTCTCTATCATAATATTTAATTGAAAAAATTTGGAATAGTCTGCAATTAGGGTTTAACCTAACCTGTTAGTTGAAACCTTGTCAAACTAAATATTAGTTAACTAAACCTGCAGATAGAACTTTGGTACATTGGTAGTTGTAATATCAGTAAATAGTTGTAATCACAGTAAATTTTAGTTTATTTTGTTTATCATGATACAAATAGTCCAATAAAGTTATAATCTCAATTTTAGAAAAAATGTCATTTAGAACCTTGTCAAACCAACACAACGATTTGGTTTTTCAAAAATTAAATGTAAAACCTTTGCTATTAATTAAAATGAGAAAGATTCTAAAATATATAAAAAAAAACTACAGTAGAATTTAATATGTGCAAAAAGTATACGGACAGATTTTATTTCGATCATTTAAAAAAGTTGCAGCCTATCAAAAAAGCTGTTTATAAAATACAAAGCTTTTTATGGCTAACACTTCACAGTTTCTAGGGAAAACTAAATAAAGATACAATAAACTCAAAACCAAGGTGCTCCACAATTTATTGCTGCAATTCATTACCAGATAGAAAAAACACAAGAAACAACAAGTTATTTAATTATCACATTCACGGTAAGAATAAAAATCCCAAAAAATACTTATAGTATTTACATTCTTCACCTAGAATTCTGTTTTGCTACTTTATCAAAGTGAATTTATGGTACTCAACACAAATTGTATTTGATAATAATTATAATAATAATCAGTATAATATTACAAATAAGAAAAAAATTTTATTTTAAAAATAAAATCACATATTTTATAACTATTTTGAAAAGAAGTATGTAAATTAAAAAAATTTCACCGCCATAATCCATTCAGAATTTGCATGTGCCATAATATCACGCTCTTCCCAGAAAAAAGCTGATTCAGACCTTTTAATCTAAAGAAAAATTGAGATTATTACTACAGTCATTTTATAAGGACTCATTTCAATCTACTTTCTGTATCTGTTCCTGCGCAACACTTGAATATAAACAATATTGAAGTGGACCAACTAAGACATAAGAAAAATAATATAACAATTTAACTTAAATAGATAACCCAAAAAAATAGAAAAAAAGATTTGCTTCTGAAACAATTATTTGACTATGAAGCAATTGTAAAAATTAAAAAAAAAAAAAATACTGGCTATATTTAAAAATAAAACTGAATTTTAAGTTAAAACAGGTCTCAAAGTATGCAAAGGCTAATGTCAGTTGGGTTATTGAGATAGCTTTTATTTTGCCTTATTATTTTATTTGTTTTATAATCATATAATCATATAATCATATTCTTTCATATCCTTTTTTAGTTTCTTTGCAGTACTTTTCAGTTAATTAGTTTTTTACTTTTGATATTCTTTTTATTATCTTGTATTCATCTTTTTATTAGTTTTATATTATGTTAAAATTTTCCTGCAATAAACTGCAATTAATAGTTAAAAACTCCTAAAATATATTAGATAAAAACAAAAAAACAAAAAAATAATTTTAAAAATATTGGGTTGACAAAAGTTACTGCTATTTTTTATAAATACTCATTAAATATTTTTCGGGATAATGCTTTAAATCATTTGAAGTTTTTTTTTCACTAGAATGTTGTTTTGGAATGACAATTAATTGATTTTGGGATCAAAAAGTGTTGATACTAGAAAGTTATTGGTTTTATAAGTCAGAAAAACATGTTTCCATTGATTTTGTTAAAGTCTGTTAATGTTAACCAACATCAATTTGTCATCTAAAAAAATGCCACATGACTTTGTCACATTAAGAATGCAAACATCCCTTTCAGAGAGCAATATAAAGGCTCCTTAAAAATCCTAAGATGTTTATCAGCTTTTTACAGACTCCAATCTTGTATAAAAAAAAATGAATACTGATGAAAGAAAGGTTTAACAGGGTTGTAGCTATTGCAGATTAAAAATACAGAATTCTATAAAGCATCTAATAAATAAAATTTGTTGAGACACAATGTGTTGTGATTTGAATTTCTTGTTTGTAGAGCACAAATAACAAACAGTTTAAATAAAAAGTATCAGCGCAAAGCATTAGACATTTTTTTTATCAACCTTACAAAACTCTAAAGTAAAAAAAGTTTTTCTTTGATCACAATTTGAACTGAATAATTCAGACACCCAGCAGATTTGTAAATATGTTCCAATCGATTGAAAGCAAACATTCTTTGAATATTTGTGATGCTGTCTTTTAGTAAACTGTGATCTTATCCTTTAGCTCTCAGTTATATGTAACAAGTATTTAAAAAATGTTTGAAACAAAATGCTTTTAATCAAACTTAAAAAATGACAGGCAGAACTTGATTCAATTCCAGTTGTCTGAAATAAAACGTGTTACTATGCCTATATAAACACATAAATAATAGAGTTATCATGCCTATATAAATACCTAAATAATAAAATAATAGTGTTATCATGCCTATATAAATACCTAAATAATAAAATAATAGTGTTATCATGCCTATATAAAGACCTAAATAAAGGTGTTATCATCCCTTCATAAATACCTAAATAATAGTGTTATCATGCCTAAATTGACCAACATCTAAAGACAGATAAAACTACTTCAGCTTTTTTTTTTGTGTTGAGCATATTCTTAACTGTAAACTTAATCATTGTATGGATTAATCATTTTAAGTTTATAGTGTCATTATAATCATTTTGATGAGTGCTATTCATCAACATATTTTCAAAATGGATAGTAGTTGATGTAGCTTGTTAAGTTGATATAGCTGGTTAAGTAAGCTAAGAGAATTGATACAAAAGTCCATTAATTAATTAAAGTTTTGGAATATCCAATACATAAGATATTTTCAGATTGCAGATATTTCAATTTTCTTATTTAAGATCACTGGTTGTTAGGGAATAAAACTTTCCGCAAACTCTTTATCGATTATTTTCCATTGTAAAATTCAGCACTAAAAAACTTTTGCTAAAATAATTGATTTTAGACCTTCATTAAGAAATGATTAAAAAATAAAAACTTAAACCAACTTAAAGTAACTTGGTTTCAATGAAAATTATAACATTTGTTCATTGCATTAATAGTGTGAACAAAAGTCAAAAAACAAAAAAAGTAGTTTAAAGGTAGCCAAGATCATTGTTTTGGCAACCAAATATTTCATCAATATATTTGACAATGATTTGAAGTATATCAAACTTACCATTTCAAATTTACTAAGTAGTTTCATGGCATATACTTGCTTGGTTTCTTTATGACGCACCTAAATAATATAAAAGTGTTAATAGATTTTAAAAACATTAGTTAAACAATCACCCCTGGGTATTAGTTTAAAAAACATTAGTTAAATAATCACCCCTGGGAATTAAATCTGTGCATATTAAGATAGCAAAACTGTTTACTATCATTATTAAATTTTATATTCTCATGATTTTTAATTTAAAAAGCACAAGATTTAAAGTAATAACAATTAATATAATTTTTCATCTTGAGCCAGGGTTGGAACCTTATAATTGTCATGCAGCACAAGACAACTCGTCTTCTTAATGGGTTTAATCTCAAAGGGTTACTTCATTTTTAAAAAAATGCCTGGCATTAACCTGAAATTTTTAAACCAGGCAGTTTGATACTTACAAAAGAGTGCTTATAAATAAAACCATATTTTGAACTATGAAGATTTTATTCCATGTGATTCAAAAGAAACCCTAAAAAAAGCACCTAAAGCACACTATATTTAAATATGTATATAAATTATACACTATGTTTAAAAATGAATACACTATGATACATTAAGTTATATAACTTTACTTAAAATAAGTCGACTAGAATTAAATTAGTCATACACGCAATTTAAAATGTTTATAAGCGCGACTATACTGTTTTTTTTTAATGTTGTTGCATTTTGAAGCATGTTTTCATTTCAATTCAAAATAAGGGAAGTTCTTAATTAAACATGAGTTTTAAAATTACATTTTCTTTTAATTTAAAATAGTCAAGTACCATTTTTAAAAATATATTAGCTGCATTTTGAATCATGTCAATGGGCACAAAAATTACCTTTTGTTTTTAATTAGTAAAATAATTTTTTTATTTAAACTTTGTCAAACAAAAGTAACGTAATAAAAAACATTATTAAGGATGGTATTAAGATTGGTTACGTATTAAACCCTAAAAAGTTTTCAAACCTTTTTTTTTTCCTTATCAAAGCAATAGTTCAGCAGATGCAAAGTGTGGCTTTAGCGCATAAAAAATGTAAAAGGAAGCAATAAAGCTATTGTCGAGTTATTTAGTTCGCAGCTTAGAAAATATATTGATGGTTTAAATTGGTTTTCTCAAAGTACTGTTGCGGGAAGTAACTCCTTTTAACTACTCCAGGTCAGGTCAGGATAATCGAGATCATTCTTGCAACTGGTATCACGTAACCCAGTACCACCTGCCACAAGCCCTGCTGCCTTGCAGAGTGTGCTCTTCTTATGCAAAGGCTAGGAGAAATAAACTCCGACTAAAAATTCCCCTGCCTTGGGGCTCTTGGTTGAGTAAAGGCTAGAGATGGTGTCTCGATAAAAATACTCATCTTGGGCAGATGTTAACTGCATCCAGCTAAACATCCCCTGCCTTGGGGCTCTTGGTTGAGTAAAGGCTAGAGATGGTGTCTCGATAAAAATACTCATCTTGGGCAGATGTTAACTGCATCCAGCTAAACATCCCCTGCCTTGGGGCTCTTGGTTGAGTAAAGGCTAGAGATGGTGTCTCGATAAAAATACTCATCTTGGGCAGATGTTAACTGCATCCTGCTACTGTCTTGTAGAAGGCCTCCTAGGCAAAGACTTTAGGGGTAACCAGAAAAATTCTGCTAACCAGCCTCGAACCCCTTCTTCATCTATTAGGCTGGCGTAGATGTAACCTGTGTTACATTGTTTCCAGCTTAGGATGATGAATGCTGGATCTCCTTGACTCTACTCATAGAATTTTGCTTATGCCTCCTTGATAATGGCTATGCAACTCTTCCTGTTATCTCCATATGAGGGTACAGCTCTAAAACTCAGTTTAATGGTTCTGAGGCCGGCTGGTAGTAAGGTTTCCCGAACTCTGTGGTAGCTCTCAGAGAGGCTGATTCCATCAACAGCTGCAAAATATCAGAGTATTAACAGTGCCATGTTGCGCATGGATGGTGTCCCTGTTAATGCTTTTGGTGTGCATTGTCAAGGCCACATAAGGAGCCCTATGTCACGGCTTAGGGTTAATTAACAGGACTGAGACAACTGCATAGCTCATTGATTAGGAGGCTGTGCTCTATCTATGAATGAGTCAAGTTCTCATTAAACCCAAATCATGACCAAAGTAAGCAAAAATTTAAAACCTAAAAAACCATCCCCACCACCTAAATATTTTAATATATCTTTTACAAATATTCGCGGTCTACGAAGCAACTTTCCATCAGTTGAGTCTTACCTCCTGCAAAATTCACCAGACTTGCTTGCACTCAGTGAAACAAATTTAAGTTCTGCAATTCCTTCTTCAGATGTCAGTGTTGATGGGTACTATCCTTTGATTCGTAAAGACTCCAATAGTCACATGCTAGGTTTAGGGGTTTACATACGCATTAATTCCCCTATTTGTCGTGAAATCAGGTTCGAATCCTTTGACCATTCTTTTATGTGCTTTCGCCTAGCACCTCTTCACTCTATCATCTTTCTCTTTGTTCTTTATCGTTCTCCTTCTTCCCATGATTGCACTCTTTTAGATGTCATCTCTGATCAAATTGACCATGCTCTCTCTCTTTACCCCTCTGCCAATATTGTTGTTGCTGGTGATTTTAATGCCCATCACACTGAATGGCTTGGCTCTAACACCACTGATCCTGCTGGCACTAAAGCCTTTAACTTCTGCGTTTCTCAATCTCTTACTCAGATAGTTAACTTTGTGACTCGTTTTCCTGACAACCCTAATCATTTACCTTCACTCCTTGACTTATGTCTTGTCTCTGACCCTAGCTTATGTTCAGTTTCTCCCTTTTCTCCCTTAGGTGGTTCTGACCACGCAATGATCTCTGTAAATCTTTCTTCTTGTACTTCTTTTTTGGGCTCACCTTATCATCGCACCACCTATTACTACCCTAAAGCTGACTGGGATTCCTTTCGTGATTTTCTTCGTGATGGTCCTTGGGCTGATGTTTTTTCTCTCTCAGCTGACAAATGCGCCTCCTAAATAACCTCCTGGATTCAGGCTGGAATGGAAGCTTTTATTCCTTCTCGTCGGTTTCAAGTCAAGCCTCATTCTACTCCATGGTTTTCTCCTTCTTGTGCGGCTGCTATATCCAATCGTAATCATTTTTTTCATCTTTTTCAAAAGAACAACTCTCTTGAGAACAAACGGCTATTTATTATTGCAAGAAATCGATGTAAAAAGGTGCTTTCTGATGCTAAACTCCATTATTCTCAGTTCACTAAATCTCGCATCTTATCGCAGAAGTTAGGCTCTAAAGACTTTTGGAAAATCTTCAACAACATTGTTAACAAGGGTAGATCTAACATTCCATCTCTCATTCATGGGACTGATCTTGTTACCTCTCCCAGGGATAAGGCAGAACTGTTTGCAAAGAACTTTTCTTCTAATTCCACTCTTGAATCTTATGGACATTCTCTTCCTTCCATTCCAGTCAAACAGGTTGACCCATTGTTAGACATTCAAATCACTCCGGCTTCTGTTGCTAAAGTCATATCTCAATTAAACTCGTCTACAGCTTGTGGTCCAGACAACATTCCTGTCACAGTCTTGCAGAATTGTTCTCCAGAAATTTCTTCAATTCTCTCTAAACTATTTAACAAGTGTTTGACTGAGTCTTGTTTTCCTGCTTGTTGGAAAATGGCATCTGTGGTTCCAATATTCAAAAACTCTGGAGAAAATTCTGACCCCTCCAATTATCGTCCAATCAGTCTTCTTTCTGTTATTAGCAAGGTCTTTGAGTCTTTGATCAACAAATTTCTCACATCTCATCTTGAGTCAAATAAACTGCTGTCAGACAATCAATACGGTTTTCGATCCTCTTGCTCTACGGCCGACTTGCTAACTGCTGTAACTGAAAGATTTTATCGTGCATTAGATGGAGGCGGTGAGGCTAGGGCTATTGCTCTCGACATATCTAAAGCTTTTGACAAAGTTTGGCATGCTGGTCTTCTCTATAAGCTTGCTTCATATGGTGTTTCTGGGAAAGTTTTTGAGATTATCAAATCATTTCTTTCTAACCGGTTTATTAAAGTCATCCTTGAAGGCCAACACTCTTCTTTATTTCCAGTAACTTCTGGGGTTCCCCAAGGTTCCATCCTGGGCCCTGTTTTGTTTCTTATCTACATAAACGATCTTCCTGACAACCTTTCATCTAAAGTAGCTCTTTTTGCTGATGACTCAACTTTATACTCCTGTCTTGACAAAAAGTCTTCTCTTTTCGATCGCCTAGAACAAGCAGCTGATCTTGAATCTGATCTCACTTCAGTAATAGATTGGGGTTCACAGTGGCTTGTGAATTTCAACTCTAAAAAAACCCATTTGCTTACTGCAAACAACTACCGTAGCATGGTCAACATTCCTATATTAATGAATGGCAATCCTCTTACTGAGTTGTCCTCTTTACGTCTTCTTGGATTATCGCTTACTACTGACCTTTCATGGAAAGCATATATACAATCGATTGCTAAATTAGCTTCTGCTAAGGTTGCTTCTCTTTATCGTGCTCGCCATTTCCTTACTTCTGATTCCATTCTCTACCTCTACAAATCTCTTATTCGTCCCTGTATGGAATACTGTTGTCATATTTGGGCTGGTTCTTCTAACGATTCACTTTCTCTTCTTGACAAGGTCCAAAAACGCATTGTAAATGTTGTTGGACCTAGACTATCTGCTAAGCTTGAACCTCTTTCCCATCGTCGTAAAGTTGCATCTCTTTCTCTTTTCTACAGATACTATCATGGTCACTGCTCAAAGGAGTTATCATCTCTAGTTCCATCAACTAAAATTCATTCTCGTTTTACTCGTCATTCAGCTAAGTCTCATTCGTTTACTGTATCTGTCCCAGCATGCTCTAAAAACTTTTATTCATCTAGTTTTTTTCCCCGCACTTCAATCCTTTGGAACTCTCTCCCATCTTCATGTTTTCCTGACTCCTACAACCTTCAACTTTTCAAGTCTTCTGTCAACCATTTCCTTGCTCTATAACTCTGTTCTTTTTTTCCCTAGTAACTCCAAACTTAATAGTGGTTGCTTGCA